TGACAATAAGTTGCCGAAGAAAAAACTAGTTATCACATACTACGAATAAAAGAGAAAAAAATGACACTATTCATACAAAAAATGGATGATGAAATCAATAATCCACCGAAAACGAATTAGAATATTAATAGAAATAATATGAAGATAAACAAAATAGAACTGAAGAAAAACATGTACATTTCAACATGTAAATAAACGATGCAGCCGTTAAAATAAACTTCCTACAAACTTTAAATAGTCGATATACTAAATTATTCTAAAGAGATAAGGACTCATCAAAACTCAAAGCACACTGTCACTTGAGATCGAACAAAACTCATTAAAAAGGGTTTAGAATTTCAATGTATTCATTGATTGCGAAAAGAAAGAGTAACAAATCATATGACTGTCTCAGGTTTGATGCATAGTCTATTTATTTGTCTACTTCTGAGCAAAATCAGTGGATGCAGTGAGAAACACGGGAACTTCTCTCATCGTCATCACGATAAATAGAAAGATATCTTAACGTTAACAGACGAAGGAGAAACATACTCTTATATAATTCAATCGATTCTATTCAATGAGCATCCTTTATTCATTTGCAAGATGATGAAAAAAACAAACATAGTTCATTTTCTATTTTATCACTGTTAGACTTGTTTTATTTTTCTTCTAACAATGTTAAATCTTCAGAATTTAAAAATACTTATCTATACAAAAATGAAAACAGCAATAATTTTCGATAGTTCTAAGAAAAGTTGATCGTCAAATAAATCAGCAATAGATTCTTAACATAATAAGAATAAACGATCGTACAAATTTTAGAAATATGAATGGAAAAAATACAGCGTTAACTCTGCTATATTGCAAATAGATCAAAATCACATTTTGAATTTTGAGAAAAAATAATAAATTAACAAAGTAAACAAATAGATAGTAGAAAGAGGTATCAACTCGCACATATGTGAAGAGAAAAAAGTAGTCGCATACCTTTAAGAATATCCTTTTTTCTTTTAATGATTGTTCAAAAATTGACTTGTCATTCTGATTTTAAAAAATCAGAGTAGTCTATAAATAACAATTCCCATATCAGATGTGTTCATATGAATACAAGCAATTAGAGCAAAGATGCTGCGTCTAAACGCGTTCAGTTGCTTTAAAAGGAAGGAGACAATACGAGGAAAAATATGTTTTCTTAACGAATATTTAGGCGTTGATATGTGTTTTAGCTTTTCGACACGGTAACAATCATGAAATTTGCGCTGAAAACAAATAAAAGCACTTAATTTAACCTGTTAAAGAAACCATTAGAATGTTTTTTTAAAATTATTTCAATATTTTATGTATTTTTAGTGAGTCATTACTAAAGATCCTCTAGGGCACGAGTCAATATGTTTCTGCATACGTCAAATACTCTTAGTTGATTTATATGTAGTAAGTGATATGGATGAAGCGCACATAACAATCAAAATGTTCTCTAGACTTATTCTAGCGGTTCTTTTAAATGGTCAACTAATTCGTTTTTGACTAACCTTATATCATTCGACAGTGAAATGTTTACTCTTTATCGGAAACTAAAAAGAAGCTCTTTGTGATCTTGATAGTTAAAACGATGAATAAAATGTTTCAAAAACAGTTTCTGGCAGAATTGAGACACCAGACTTTAAAATTGTGTGAAATCAGATAGGGAAGAAAGGGACGAGACTTTTAGAATATAGTGCATTTTTATAATATCTGAAGCCAAATGTTTTATTAAATTGAAATAAAGCATCTTTGTTTGAAAGGCAACATATATAGTAGTATCAAACGAAGAGAAAAAATGGATTTCGTTTAGTAGATATCAATAAATCGAAGTACAATTCAATAGTGACGAAAAATAATCAACATGGGGATTACTATTAATTTTTTTTTTCTTATGATAAAGATTTAATCACTCATAATATAAGATTGCTGATCTTCTCAATATCAGGTTCAGCTAACTGTAAAGTAATATTGCATACAAAAGAACTGTATATACTTCATTAAAAATTAGTGATAGTCAAGATCAAAAAGTGTTAATATAATGCTTACCTAGTTGCTGAGTAGTTCTTGCAGTTGTCGTTGTAGTTGGCATTGACGTTGTTGTTGAAGTGTTCATCGCTATTCAGCATTATAGAAAAATTTATGTAATCAAAGCGGATAGTTTAGGTTTGACATAGAGTACAATGTAGAACTCGAAGCATTTAAGCTTCAGATGAAGTCTAAGCAGGATTTCAAAGTAGAGCACCGATCTCCAATGGTCTGAAAAGGTATCTGTTTTCTTTCAAAACTGATTTTTGATGGAAAACGTCTATGTCCATCGGAGACCGAAAACACAGTAAAATTTTCGACAATTCTATTCGATTTGATGCGGCTGAATCAAATTAAATAAAATCACATTGAGTGGAACCAAATCAATCGAAACTGCTCTGCTCAAATTCATCGCTTCTGTTATATTTTAAATACGGGTAAAAGATTTAAATGTACGGACTGCCATTGAAGTACAAGATCATTATTCGAAGTATGAAGTTTGTGATTTCAACCTGTCACATAAATTGCCTACATGCCAGTGTGTTCGTGATCTTAGACCATTAGAATATTCTGTCGTCATATTAGCAGTGTGAGTGGAATGGCTTCACAGAGATATTCGAAAAAACCGAAGAATACTGTACAGATAAATTGTTAAAAGCTCTCTCTCTCGTCCTTTTTGTCGTCAGACGGTTTGAATATTGATATTCTTCTCTTAAGAAAGAAATCTCAAATATTTGATACAAGCAGGCATAGCCTCCAAAATAATTAGCCGTACCAAGAACACCCCGCCAATATGCATTCTGTGCTTATTAGTATTTTTCTAAGGCGGCTGAATCAGAGGTGCTACAAGCTGTGAAATATAATTCACGTACACAGTTGCATTACTGATCATTAGTGACATATTCATTCAATTCAATGACTAAAATACTCTTAAGCTCTAGCGTTTACTTCGTCATAGCTAAATGATCAGTCTTCAATTTCGCAAGGTTAGTCATTAGAAACATGACAGAGAGAATCATGAATGCGTTTTTCTTCGAACTAGATGTTAATCACAGTTGTCTTGAAAAAAGACTGTCGAGTAAACTCAACATTCACTAGACGCAGTCGAGTATATAACAAAAATTGTGAATAAAGAGAAATGTGGCACAATAGAATTGAAGTGCTCTTCTGGAGATTCTAACATATGATACGTTCTACAGAATCGAATCGAATGATTAATTGTTCAATTTGTTTCGGTCTCTGATGTACATTCAAAAATTCACTGCGTCTTGATGCATTGCTAAATATAACTGAAATCGACTCTGTATTTCAAATTAATGAATATAGTTCATGAGAAGAGATGAAATCTTTTTTTTCAATGATTACAATTCGTATTCTCTATACCATGCTTTATCTACTTTTTCAAAGGCTCTTTGACTCTTCCCGCTACTCCTACATCAACATGAACTACATATGTGGGGGTGTGTCCATATTGAAGAAATAAATTTAAGAAAGATTCGGCTTTCATTTGAATCTGTAGACCACTCTTTGTTTTCTTACTTGCTCTCGGTGGACAGAGTTGTCGATTGAAACTGGGCACTGGATAACAAACAGGAAGATTATGACATCGAGGATGATGAACACATCTATGGTTAGGTTCACGACAAAGGTTGTTTGAGCTTTCACATGCAACTAGCTCAGAACAATCCACAAATTCATCGCTACAAATGCCAACGTCAATAGCACCGGCTATATGAAAACAGGCACACGCACTATTTAGCGAACATCGATCATATTGAGTAATTCCCGCGCAGAATTGAGATTTCACTCGAACTAGCGACATACTAAATTAATAGAAGGATATGTAAAAAGAAAACAAGAATCAAACCTGTAAAGCTTAAAAAGAAAAAGTGTTCAACATTAGATGAATAGGAAAAAAATAGATTTTAGAATTACCTGAATAGAATGAATACAAAACAACGAATTACTGTTGAAACCATCGCTTGCTTTAAAATGAGACAGAATAGCGGCGGCACCCGTCTTTATATCTAATGAAGAGATAATATTTTTCGCATTTGCCGAAAGTGAAGAAGCGCACAAAGTGATCTTTCGATAAATAGAAATTCAATATTGCTCTATTGCTTCCTTCGATGCTTAATTTTTCTACAAAAAAAGTAATCTTTATAGAAAAGAAGAGCGTTGTGAAAGCGATATGGGATTGCTTCTGCGATATAAGCATTTAATAGACTCGCGCCATCATTCAAAATATGAATATTATTGTTGTCAATCATCGATTTACTATGTAATGACGACTTAGAACAATTTCAAGGACAAATTTTATTTATAATATTTGTATTTTTATTATAGGCAGCTTACAGGAGTTTGCATCTTGATCAAATCAACATCACAATCTATAGGTAGCCATATGCATTTGTACTTTGGACTGTGTCTTCATTGAATCTCAAGGGTTTATTTGTTCGACTTCATCTTCTATAGTTTAATAAAAGATCTTCTATGAAAATAGCGGTGTGGCTAGGAGTATAGCAAAGGTTAGGATTGTTCACCAGTAAACAAAGTTATTTCTATGATGAAACAGATTTCTGTTCCCTCTACTGAAACGTTTTCTGACATTTCAGTTACGATACTATTCGAAAACGCTCTTCCCAGCAAAATGTCCGTGCTTAATCGAGTCAGTCACGTTCAACTTTAGATCGCAGAATCATTTGTCAACTCTCAAGTGAATGGTGTTCAATTTTTATCTCGATATTCTCCTTTCAAATCAGAGATTTGACTACAGGAATCTTCTTTCAATCTTGCCATCATCATTCTTGTTGTTATCATTGACTATCAAACAAAGTCTGATTGAAAATATGGGGGTGATATGAATGTACTTACCGTTGTGAGTGAGGACTTTTCTATCCATTTATGTTCGCATGACAGTCAGAATGATTCTTTTGAAGCTTTTTGCTTTTTCTTTATCTAATTTCTTTGAGATCAGGAGGCGGGTGTGGAGTGTAGGGTATGAGTGTGGGTGTGTTGGTGTGTGAATGCGGGTGTAGGTACGTGGGTTAGAGCGTCGATCAGGGCACACAAAATTTCCGTACTCACACAGATACTCATACCCACATCCACTCCCCATGTGGATGTGGGTGTTGGTGAAGGTGAGGATGTGTGGGGGTGGAGAGTGTGGGTGTGACCAGGTGAATAAATCCGGCAACAGTTCTGATCGGATCCGACCTATCGACAAAATTCTATGGGAATCCGGGACACAGAACCACTCACGAGTCCGACGGATGAAACGTATTTAATTAGTTAAGTACCGATTACTATTTAGCGCCAACATTAGAGATCAGTAAGAGTGGTGCGTTGGATTCTGTCCAATACCGGCAATAGGATTCTATGGGATTCCAACACTAGGGATCCGAATGTCGTTTCGGGTCCGCGATTCAGAGGATATTTCGTCGGTTTTATAGAAATTCATAGAAAATTTGATGGGATTCCCATCGGATCCGAGCTGGTCCTACTGTCGAATTGAATCTCCGGGGTGGATGGGTGTGGGTGAGGGTTTGTCGGGGTGGAGGGTGTGGGTGTTGGTGTGAACGGCTAGGAGGGTGAGTCTCGATCTTTTCTTGGAATACATATCGACACCTACACATTCCACACTCACACCCACATCCTGGTTTGCAACCAGAAACTTTTTTACTGTTACTCTTACCCATAGCAAAAATTTACAACAATATCCGTCTTCTTGATATACGTGGTCTCGTTAAATTCGTAGTTACATTATGCAGATTTTAGTTTCTAACCTCTTTAACTGACAAACAATGATATTGATTATCTTTCAAAATTATAACTTGATCAATTTTTCGAAAAAACTAGAAAGTCTGACGCCTGTTATTCTTATTTGCTAAGGTCTGTAATGAAGAGTATCTGTAATGGGAGCCTACATCGCTATGTGTCTGTAAAGGGACCTTACGTTACTATGTGTATGTAAGAGAAGGAAGAGGGGGAGAGTCGCAAATACTTGAACTTAAAATTTACACTCATTATTTTCTTCGAAAATATATGTAAGTTCTGCAAAACTGAAAGTGTACTTGCTGGTGATTTTAATAGGGTTATATACATTCTGACCTATGGATTATTTAATGACATAGGAGTCTTTGATTGTCTTCTTAACACTAGTCGGAAAACACAGAGAAAACCTTGTGCAGAAAAACACCACCAGTAAGGATTAGGGGTCTTTTTATTATTGTGAATTAAAAAATAAAGAGAAAGCGTTCCGAAAGAAATTATATCTAATATGGAACTGTGTTTTTTTCACTCTATCGATTTGTAAAAAGGAACTTGTCGTTTTTTTCTATCTGGAATTCAAGAAAAGTCATTCTTCTTTAATAGCGAGTGTTTCACAGAAATATAGAGTAAGGACACTCTCACAGTGAATTTTCAATAAAAAAAAAACATTTTTTTGGATTTGACTTTTTCAGATTATATTGACATTTGAGAGCTCATAAAATAAGATCTTTCTAATGAGGAAATCTCTTCAGCTTTCTCCTGTTTCGATTTCAATGATTTTTTGTCTATAGATACTGCATAGTGTTTTAATAAATGCCTTAAAATAATTGGGGTTTCTATTGATATTTGATTAAGCTCTTGAATTTTTAAGTTGCCTATTTTCTAGAAGCCCCAGAATTTCGAAAAACTTGTATTTTTGAATTTAGATCTGAAACTTTGTGCATACAACAATCTCAACTAAACTTACTTTCATAAAAGAACTCACAAGTTTTAAACAATGAATCTTCGAGATATGAAGCTTTCAAAAAATGCATGCTATGTGCACTATCCATTGAAAAGGGTCTATATCTCAAAGAGGCTGTTTAAAACTTCTAATCTTTTGTATGGGAGCTAATCTAGTTGAGTACACTATATATACAAAGTTTCAGATCAAAATTTTTAAATTCGAATTTTCCCGAAACTTGGGATCTATAGAAAATGGACATATTAAAAGTTTGATAGTTTATGTCAGTGTATTTTTCTTCGAAAAAAAAATACAATGTGAGTTTCACAAAACTTGAGAAGGGTTTTTTTTTTAACATAATTAATAAATATTAATTAGACATCAATAGTTTAGTTGTTGAATTTTATTATTTTAATCGTTATGAAAAGTAAAATGTTATCAAAGTATGATGCGTAATCAATATTACAAAAAAACTTTTCGGAGTTTCTTATATTGTTTCATGATTAATTATGTTTTTATCTAGCCGAAATATATATTTATAAATATCACTGGGATAAAAGAAAAAGAGTACAAGCACATATACAGAAAGAAACATATATCAATTAGAAAGAAGGTCTTTTCTAAAACCAATATCTAGTGATGTTGTTCGTTGTCTTAGTTCATTATCATCTTTTGCTTCAATATATGCTCGCTGATTTGATGATGAATTTTCTATTTGTTCTACATTATTTATTGTTCTTGTTATAGCCACATGAGGAGATGGTCGAAGTGAACCCATCATAAAAGGTAAATGTACTTCATATCGTGAATACATCAAAATAAGTACAATAACAATAAATAAAATCAAAAGAATAATAATTGGCCATAAAACCATAGGTACATGACGCATAGTACCAGCAAAAAATTGTGATAGACTTTCACCTATTATACCAAGTGGTGTAACAAATAATTGAGCAAAAGTCATTGATAAAGCCTTTTAGAAAACAAAAATCAAAAAAATAATTGATATTATTTTATAAATAGACGAGAATTTTACTTGAATAGGTGTAACTTGTGAATGAGGTGTAGCACGTAATGCTTTGTGATATTCAAAACATTCATTAGTTGGTAATTGTACGAAACGACCAAAATAAGATTTAACAGAATCCCATATACCCATTGAATGACCTTGACAATGTTTTGGTATTTTTTTCATAAGAACTTCATCGACTTTTGCTTGTGCTTCCTATAGAATAAATCGATTTCATTTTTATTCAATTTAAATTAATAAACAAACCTGATAAAGTGTATACCAATTTTGTATAACAGAAACAATAAATGTGACTATAAAGAAAGTTGTAAGCCATCGACCACGACGAAGATGAATACGAATACTGATAAAACTTACTGCTCCAATTGCAATCAGAATCAAAATACTCTAGAATATAATAGTGGCATAACCAGGATTTTGATAATAAATGAGGAGTAAGGCTTAGATAGCCGAGCTCTGTCTGGTGGGAGCAAGAACCTCAACCTCTCTTAATTATAGCACTAATGTCCGCTGAAGAATTAAAGAGGAGTAGATGTAATCTCAAAAATTTGACAACGACAACAGCTAATGACCTGCAGTTTTCAGCAATCGAATGTGGAGAGTTCCGGTCGTCTTTTCGTCTAATACTATATAAAATAAAATTATTTTAAAGTCCATCATTTTCGTAAACAACGTAAAAACATGCAAGAAAATAGTGTTCAGTTTCAAAGAAATTTTTATCAAAAATCAGAAAATTTGCTAAAAATCAATTAAATACCTACACGATTTTGTTTACTCAACAATGAGATGTAAGAAGACAATCGTCTGAATCATACCTTAAACTATAGATCTGAATCACATGTCAAAATCAAAATTACATCGAAATGGAACACAGGTTTGACGCATTTTGTTTTGAATATTTTGCGAAGATGATAGATTTTAAACTAATTTTACCTTATAGAGTGTCAGACAAAGAGACATCTGAAGTTCTCCTATTTCATTTACTGAAAACCATAGGTTTCTAGCTATTGCTGTTGGCGAGTTATTGAGCTTACAGGCACTACTCTGTAATTCTGACGCGGACATTAGTTTCGAATATCAAATAAAATGAAATCATAATCCAATAGAAATACACAAATTTGAATTTGATGAAAACAAGATAAGATCTATGAGTTAAGTTACAAACTCCATTTGTGCGTCTCTTGAAGACTAATAAGAGAATATTCGCAAGTAGACATGAAAGTCGATGTATTAATCTGCGACGGTGGTGAATACACGTTTTCGATGTTTTTATTATATTCATAATTCCGTGACATTTTGAAATAATAAGAAAAATCTTAATGATAAGAAATTGGACAAGAATATCTATGGAAACTGATCCTCGATGTGGAAAATTTTCAAAAAAAATCTAATATCAATTCTTTTGTCGTTTCTAGATCACTAGAAAATTGGCGACGACTCACGAGAGAACCTTCCTAATTGACTTAGCTTGTTATTGCGTAGATACTGCAAATTTACAATCGTTTTAAATGAATGTCGTACTCTTCCTCAGGAACACTAGGAAAACAAAATTTTCAAGTGTCGACTTAAAACTTTGTACGAAAGTATACCTTAATGAAAATAGTTTATTGTATTTGCTTCTATCCTGAAATAAGAATATTGAATCTACCGTTATATATGAATGATGTAAAATACATGATTTTATCATAGCTGTATCTTAAGATAGGAACAATGACAAGATTTGAAACATTCAGAAAAACAACTATTCTCATTAAGAACTGTCTCTGTGCAAAGTTTCAAGCCCAAATTCGAAAAAACAGCTTTGCTGGAATTCTTGAGAGAAACTACAGCATTCATATAAAACCTACTTTAAAAGTGCAATATTTCGGTAGCAATAAACTAATGATTTGAACTGTTGTCAAGGTATTCATAGCTCACTTGGGTGTAGATAGTACATGTAGTCTCGACTCAAAAGTAATTTATCAGTTGCGAGACTTGTCTCGTCAACCGATCGATGTACACCTCTATTCGAGAGTGATATGTTGCTTCGAATATCATAGATTATCAGTAAATCAAATACTACTAGATAACATAACATTCAAAGGATGCATATACAGTTGTGAAAAACATTATTTAATTTTTTTTCTATATAGAATCAGATTTTTGGCTTGTTATTATCATAAAGAAAATTTTATTTCCATAATATAAATTCTTCAAAATCGAACAATTGATATTTCAGTTAAACGAGAATACTATAATTAATTTTCGAATACTTGATTTGATACTTACTTTAATTATCATATTGACATCAAATGATCGTAACCATACTGACCATGTTAAATTACTAAATATTGGTTTATCTTCTTCTATTTTATGTACAATACGTTTGAGAAGATCAGATATAACATGAACTTCATGAAGAACATCTTTCTAAAAACATCTATTATATTATATAAAATAATCAATTAATAAAATCAAACTTGTTCATAACGTGATGCTGATGCAAATTGATTAAGTCGATCAAATTCACTAGGAGACAATTCAAGTAAAAGACGATATTCTTTGGCATTTTTTGACTAAATATATTTAATCAATGCTATTAATTCGAGTTATAAAAAAGAAAAGATTCCATACGGGAAATTTTTCAATCCAATCTTTGATTACATGACGATATGCAGTAAGTACTGTTCGATATTCAGTTTTAAATGTTGATGGACATGTTTCATCATCTTTCTAGAATATTTAACTTATTTTTTAAAAAAAAATAAAGAACAAACAAAAAATAAAACATACGACATTGAGTACATGTTTTTGAACTTTTTCTTTCACTTTGGTTGATGCGTAATCAACTTTTTCAGCAACTTGATCTTTAACATTGTTGAACATATCAAATATATCTTGTGAATTAACGAAAAAAATTGTTAACAATAAATAAAAAATAATACACCGGGTTGTCAAATTGAAAAGCATATTTGAATGTTACTTGAATGTTATTTGAAATTGAAATAAAATTCTCATAATCTATAGTGTTTGCGTGTAAATGAAACAAATAAAGTTATGGATTGTTGATAAGCTTATCGGGAATATGTTCGATCGATGACGCTAGTTATTGATCAATAACAGCACAATATTTTTTCTAAAAACATTTTACTTCATTATATAAAACTAAGAACTTTCTTCATTTTTTGTGATGTAGTAACAAATAACTCTGGTATTACTATTTTAGCGTATATTAGAATTTCTTTGTCATTATATTTCTACTCATTAAATGAGTATATTCCTTTCGTTTTATGGAATATTTTATTATGTCACTGCACATATATATATATATGTGATTTTTCCTTTAGACATTCACCTCAGGGATGTGGCGACCACGGGGTGCAGGGGGTGCGTACCCCCTCACTTTTAGAAAATTTTCGCTTTTTCCCAGCAAAAATTGTTAATTTTATTGAAAAAAAAGATCGTGAAATGGAAAAATAAGGATCTGCACCTCCCCCCACTTTTTAAAATTTCGTAAATGCATTATTTCATGTTCAAAAATTTTTTAAATACACCCTCAACTTTTCAAAAAATTTCCTTTGCACCCCTCTACTTTTTCCTCTTCGCCACATCCCTGATTCACCTCCACTTCCGACTTTCTAAATCAATACCAATATGTGACAGTTTTATGTTTATCTTATCTTTTAAAAGAATTTCAAATATGACTCATCAGTACTATGTTCTTTCATAGTTTTTCGCTTTTTGTTTATGATGAATCAAGATAAATGAAACACTTGAATAGTTAGATATTCAAAAATCGATTCTGTTTGTCTTATTTTCACAATTTCATATAGGATGACTCGATCATACGTGCTTGAATTTCAATAAAAAAATAACATGGATTTAAAATGGATTCTTTCGAATTGTACATTTCAGACAAAATAGTCTGAATGAAGAAAGAAATGATCAAATATTTTAGTAGAGAATATTTCTAGTAGCTAGTTTCTTGATATATTTTTTATACATACTATTTGATAGTACATAAGTATCTAGGAAGGACATCTGTAGTAAACTAGTGTTATGATTCTTTTTCAGAACTTCTTCATTATTTGAAAACGTTAAATTAACAATTATTATTATGAATGATCTCACGAAGCAAGTCCTTCAAATGATAAATCGCTTTTGAATCGAGGCTATATGTATTGTGTAGATCCTAATGAACTATGAATACTCTAAAAAGAGTTCGTGCTTCCAGCTTATTATTGCGGAGCTAGTGCCTTTCTATGGTATTTTTTAAATGAATGCTGTGTTTCCCTCAGGCATATCAGAAAAAATGATTTTCAAATTGCGACTTGCAATTTTGCATAGTTTCAGGTCTCTTGCTTTGCTTCTATCCTGAAATTTCATCCCAAGAAATAGAATATTTTCTAATCATTAAATTCTTGATTCTGTTCAGTTTTTATAAGAAAAATAGAACGTCTCCGAAAATATTTAGTAAAAGAAACCTTGACGTCAATATGATTTCAGTAGTTAATGATTAATATGACGAATATACAAAAATATAAGCATTACAATCAATGAAAAAACATACCAATCTTGTGGCGCACTCTTTTCTTTTTTTTGACGACTCACAAATAATAAATCCTTCGTTTTATTTCTTCTTCTTTTGTTTGTACCTTATCACACAACTAACACGTGAATATCAGATTGTGAAACAAAAACAATACCATTTGTCATAAAATTTTTGTAAGTAATGAATAAAACAAGAAATTTAAATGAAGAAAAAAAAATATGATTCATTTTGTTTTCTTTCTTTAAGTTTTAATTGTTAAATCAATATGAATTTGAATGCAAATCAAGCAGCACAAACTGCAAATTATGCTGGACAAGCAATGAATGCATTTCAAACAGCTGTTACTATTGATAATCAACAACCAAAACCTGAAGGAACAACATTTTGGTTTCGTTGGCTTATTCGAATTGTTGCTATTGCTACTGGGATTTGTAATTTGTTTTTTCAGCAATGAATTTTTAATTAAATTCTACTCTCTGCTTTGTTCTTTCTAGTTGCAATGATTTGTGGTGTTTTTGGTGCACTCAGCACATCAGCTTCATGTATAGCAGCTGGTGCTATTATGATGTTTGTTAATTCTTTTTTTTCTATTTCGTAAATTATATTCTGAATTTCATTTTTTTTTGGTTTTCTTTCTTTTAGTTTTCTTGGCTTCTCAATGATTATGTTTGAAGTACCAATTTGTTGTCAATTTGTTAGATATACACAACCAGTTGCAAACTTTTCAGAAAAACGTCCACCTTGGCAGAAAGCTATTTTATATTCACTGTTAGTTGATTAAAATGACAAAAAATCAAAGAAATTTTTGAAAAACATGTGATGTATATTTTGATAGGAACGAATCAGATTTTAGTCCTATTGAGACAAGAGAAAATCCCAAAAAAGAATTCCTAAACATAGGTTTTTCTTCTTGAATTATAGAATTATTCAAAAGAAATGTTGTAGTCTCTCTCAGATCATCTTCAAACTTTTCATAGATCTAGTTCATTATGAAAGTATTAAATTTTCTAGTATATCTTATTCTGAGATATAAATATAACAATAAAGTTTTGTTTTTTTTCGAAAAAACAGAATTTTCATTATTAATAGGTGAGAATAAGAGTAGTGGCGTAATCAGGAGATCGTGAATGGTAGGGCAGCATCCTACCATTTTGGGAGAAACCCATGAAATATAGTGTCGATAATAGTAATTATTATACATTTTTCTTCTGATGGTAGAACGACTCTCAGTCGAACTATAGTTATACCACTAAATAGGAGATAATAAAAAATCTGATAATTTCAGAATGAACTAATTTCATTGAGAACTTTATTTTTGACACAATTCGAACTCGAAAGTTAGTTTTGAAAATGGTCTGAAGAGCAAAAATTCTATATTCCAAGGATATGTCAAAGCTATGTTCTAGAACTTTTTAGCTATTTCAAATCTATTGTCAACATGTGCCACGAATAGATCTGTGACAATGCCTGATCAAAGAAATGAACCCGGTGACAAATTCTTTTTGAAAGAACTGCATGTGGTAATCAGCTCTTTTTTGACAATTGGACTAAGTATTGAATAGAATCGCTAGATCATCATTATTGATAGAACAAGTACATTTGAAAAAAAAACCCAGCCACTAGATCCAGTTCCCAATAAGAGAATAAATTTTTAGAACGGAGAATTGTCACAGGTCTAGCCACGAGCATGTTTATTTGAGTTTATTTGATATAAGTGTGTCTGGCAATAAAATCTAACTACTTCATTGATACACAAATCTTGAAGTACGTTTTATTACCAGACAGACTTATATAAAATGTACTCAAACTAATATTCTTGTGACACGTGTCGATAATAGTTTTGAAATAGTTAAGAATTTCTGGAAAATTACTTTAATATAAACTTGGAGCATGAAATTTTCGATTTTCCCTCTTAGATAAGATTCAATTCAAAAATAAACTATCTTGTCAAAGTTATATCGAAGAAGTTGTAAATTAGAAGTTATATAAGTCATTAAATAATTGAAACATAGATCAGTAGACAATTTTTTTCTTCTAGAAAGATTTTGTTTTGATTGGAAAGAAAAAAACAGGTTGATTTCACTCATGTCTATTTGCATCCAAAACTCAACTAGTATGCATCAAGCCCAAATGTTTGAGTTCGGTCTTAATTGCAGTCATTTTCAGCTAATTAATAAAAGAAAGTAAAAGTAAACCAAAAGAAAGAATTTCAAGTTTGGCTATGGTAAATACACGTACAATTGAATAAATAATTCAGAAATACTTGAGTCCGAACTTAACTGAGCCTTAGAATGCGTCCATAATTGTTCATATATCTCAGAAAAAGTTTGGACAATTGTCCAAATATTCGATACTGTCCGAACTGTTCGGATAGTTTCCGAATATCGAGTCTGAGTTTTGATTTGATGCATGTCTAAATTATCTTGAAATCATGATTAGACATGTACAAATAATTATATAATTTTTAATACATATTAACTATATATAAAAATTTTTAATTATCTGTTTAACTTCAATAGATTTTAAAAACAAACAAGACAAGTAAATTCAATTTCTTTTATATAATTTAGGCCACCACTTTTACCACTTGCTCTATGTCAATCGATAAGCATTGTATTAGGTTTCATTTCTTTACTTGTTAATGGTGGAATTCAATTCATGTTAGCTGTTGGCAAAAAGTAATTAAAAATTGTTAATCTTATCAAATTCACTCATTTATATTTCTTTTAGAGCATCAAGAGAAGAAATGATGCAACGAGCTGGTGGAAGTATTGATAGTCGTGGACCACCTGTACCTGATGGTCCTCCAATAATTACTGCAGGCAATAAAGATTATATATTTACACAACTACATTAATAAATCTAACAAATACCAGTGATGACAATTATTCCACTTATATTCTTGTTTCTTTTCTTCTGTTCGTTTTTTTTTGTGAAATCAAATGAAACTCTAACATCATTTATGATATAGTTATTGTTATTATGCATTAATGGTTAGAATTTTTCACGCTGTTATCATGACGTCTTATTATCGTTAACCATAATTTTTTTTCTTTTTATTTATGCATTCCTGTGTATTTTAAAACTTTTTTTTGCTGATTCTCGAACAAAAGTTTATATATTGGGTTGACACAAAAGTCTTCGCCAATTTTTTTGAAAATATTTTAAAACCAGCTACCAATATTGTGTATGCGTGTCTTTTGCATATATCATAAATGCTTGATCAGTGCTATATAATGATATTAATAAATGTTCGTAAGTATAAGTATTTTAGGTTACAAAATGTCCGAGATTCCTATTCATGTTCGACACTGTATTTTGTATGAGTTTCAACTCGGCAACAACGCAAGCGTTGCTACTCTTAGAGAAGCTACAGTTGCTGAACACACATATCGTAATTGGTTCAAAAGGTTTCGAGAAGGCGATATATCATTGGAAGATCATCTGAGATCCGGACCTCCCGTTAAATATGATTTGGAATGATTGCAAGCACTTGTAGAAGACAATTCACGGCTAACCACTCGTGAGTTGTCAACAATGCTTGGCTGCAACCAATCCACCATTAATTGTCACTTGCACCAAATGACGCGCTGGACAACATCCAACAGAGGGTCACCATCTGCAACTTTTTGTTAGCGAAGTGCAACCGACACGAATTTCTCCAGTAAATCGTCACTGGCGATGAGAAGTGTGTCCTCTACATTAACCATACACGTAAGCACCAATGGGTCAATCGCAAAGATTTGCCGGAACCAGGACCGAAAACCGACCTGTACTCAAAATAGGTGATGCTGTCAATCTGGTGGGATTTTCAAAGCATAATCTACTTCAAGCTTCTTCCTTCTAACACCCCAGAGCCGACCCCGAACTGTACTGCAAACAAAACTTGAGGGTCGCTCTGCAAGCCACGTGTTCAGAATGACACAAAGTACGGCTGCTTCATAATAATGCCAGACGCCGTACGGCAAAGTTCACCCGCCAGAAGCTGGAGGAATTGGGCTGGAAGGTCTTACTCCATCCACCGTATTCACCAGACTTGGCATCTTCCGATTATCATCTGTTCCGCTTGCTTCGCAATCATCCGCGCGAGAAACACTTCGACGATAAAGACCATTTAAAATCAGACCTCGAAACTTTTTTTCAGTCGTTGTCTAAGAAACTCTATAGAGATGGTATTGTAGATTTGCCTAAGAGATGGAACTATGTCGTAAATAACAATGGTGCATATGTTGTTGATTGATGATATTTTATTTCAGTAAAATTTTAAAAAATTGAAAAGAAAAAAAATCGGCAGAGACGTTTGCATCAACCCAATAAAAAGGAGCAAAAAATTGAATTATAAAATTATATTGAAATTTATCAAAGCTAAGAAGTCTATATGTGACTTACATACTTTTCATTTGACTTTGATTCTTTACGCGATTTATTTTTGTGAATAAATTCTATTAGCATAGACATTTGTAAAAATGTTGTCTCTTTCAGCTGACTATCAATTGAGAAAAGAATCTGAAAGCTTCAGAATAGACTCTACAGCACGAACAGCATATATGATAAAAATTTCAGAAAGATCTGACTTCAAAAAATCAGTTTTCAAAAGATTCCACCGAGTCCTGAAAGAAAAAGTTTTGTTTTACCATCTTCTAGAAGTTCCGAAAAACGATTTGTATCGTTTGAAATCGGTTTTGAACTTCTCATTCGGTTATAAGAGCATTTTTTTTATTTATATCCCGAGAGATACACGTGTTTTTATTTTACGAAGCCAGTTCGCTAACGAATGATTTTGCCCATATAAGAAATTTTATTTTCTTAAGGTTTCACCCCTCGAAAAAAGTCAATTTTCGTCACAAATGCCGAAATTAAGGTAAATGCATGGAAAGATAGTCCATCTTCTGATCCTTCAGAAACGATATAGTTGTTTTTTTCGGCATCTCATTTTTGACCAAAATTTTTGATGATTTCTATTAACTTCGTCTTAAAAAGTATGCTTATTTTGGAAAAAACAAAAGCATTTTTCGTTTTTTTCTTAGCTTATACTTTTTCAATCGCGCAACGCAAATTTCTTAGTGGGTCTACATTCTATATATTTGAATGTTTTTTTGTTTGAAAGAGCATGTCAAAATGCAGAGCACTACAGAGTCCTTTTCTTTCTAAAATTAAGCTTTGATTTTATTATATGTGCAAACAAATATATGAATGGATACTCACTTTTGGCGCGTTTTTAGAGCTTTTTTTGAGACGTTGAACTTATCACTCGTTTTTTCTGCATAAAAAAATAAGAATACAAAAAAAAAGTTAAATATATAGAATGAAACTGGACAGAGAAATTTGAACTGTCAAATGAGCTATTTTGGACTCTTGTTTGGTGAAAATCTCCCTCAAATGTCATGCTATAAGGCTGAAAATTTCTTGCTTTTAGCACGCATTCAGCCTGAGATCGATTTTATTGTAAATTGAATGAATATTTTTCTTTCATTTGAATTACAAAAGAAAATAATTTTTTTCGAATAACGATCGACATCATTAAACCAAAAATAGAATACAACATCAACCATTCTATCGTTCTTAGTGTACGTTTTATTTTGTTTAAAAAAAGTAAAGCAACACAGCAAACAGTTGTTTGTTTTTTTGAAGACGACTGATATAAAACATGAAAGAAACAAAAATTCTTTTTTTTTCAACAGTAATGATATTACGTTTGTAAACTTTTCTTCATAGTAGAATTTGATTGGACATTCTATGAAATATACGTAAGGTTTAATATATTATAAACAATATATTCTCAATCTTTTTAGAGATAATTTCGATATTATTTAATTGTTAGAGTTTAGTAAAACATTCTAAACAAATACTTTTTAAATATTTTCTTAGTTTATGATTATACAAAAATAAGTCAAGTATATTGATTAATAAAGCTAATTCACACCAAATTGTAGAAATTCCATATGCTAATAAATTAATATATGTAAAATGATTAATAATTGGTAATATATATATTGGAGCCCATCCTGCAACAAATATACAAAACATTAAAATCATATGTCGTAATAAATAAATATCACGATGACTAATTTTTATTTGTTGAATATTATGAATATTAGTTTGTGGTTGAATACGACGAGACGAAGATCGCACATGATAATAAATAAGGATATTTGTAACAAAATAAATAATCGATGGAATTATCATCATATTCACCAGGACATAAACTTTTGGCCATAGAGCATCTCCATTAGACTAGAGTATCGTATAAAATATAAATGAATTCATATTAACAGATAAGAAAATCTTACCATATGAATGCGTATAAAATCTGGTATAGATAAAATAAATCCCAATAACCATTGACTTCCAATACATAATATAATCCATTGTTTTGTTTTAAAAAAACTCTTCGTATAATAAACTATAGAACAACAACGATGAATCGATACTGCTACAAAACTACATGGTACTTGAATAGTAAATATCATTGCTATAATGTTAAAAACAAAATTCATTTTTCCAACAGTTGTATATGGATTATCAATCGTAAATGTCACATGAACAAAAATCCACGAGCAACAACAAAATATTGTTACCAAACATATATTTAATGTAAGTATGTTATTATGTTGATGAAAACGACGAATGAATATGATTGGAATCGAATAAATAGATGCAAAAAGTATAATAATGATAAAAATAACAACGCCAAGAACAGGAAAAATACGCAATGAATTTACCATTGCTTATAATGAAATAAAATTCTGAAATGAAAATAAGATGGTCGAAATTTCTACCCTATACTCCAACATTCCTTTTAGATTGTGTTTCACAAAAATAGTAAGAGCAGTTTAGTGATCATTTAGCTCCGCCGAAGCCGCCATAGTTCAGTGGATATGTGGTTCAACACGTATCTAAGAGATACTTTGTACAAATTTCAGTACTACCAACCAGTGAATGACTCTGGCCAGGACACTAACGACTATCTGTCTCGGATCGTCTGTCCAATAATGTGCTTTTGTGGTTAGCTAGTGTGTATGAGAAGCTCAAGGAGTTGAGCGCAAGAACACCGTGTCAGGTCGGTCTTCTATTCAGAACTACAGCTAGTATTTGTTGTAGAGAAGATGTCAGACTATTGAATCTACCGCAAGATAGCTGGAAGACAGAGTTATTCTTCCTACCTATCTCGTCCGCTTAAAAACAGCCCATTTTCGTTAGACTAACGGAAATTAAGATAAATATATGAGAGGATATCTTGACGTCGGGTCTTTCACAAACAATATGATCGTTTTTTCCGGAAAATTTTCAATGATTTTCGTTATCTTCTACTTGAAAAATATGCTTTTTTTAAAGAAAAAGCAGTAAATCTTTTTTGATTTTTTTCTATATATGTTTCTCTGATCATGCATCCTAGAATTCTTAAACATGCTTCATTATAGCCAAACTATTGTTTGTTTTTGAAAGAACAAATCAAGCTGCAGCACATAGCAGAGCCCACTCTTTGAATTAAACTTTTTTTATTATTATATAACAATACACTTCTATAAATAGATGACCAGTTTTTCGAGATATCAAACTGATCATCCTTGTTCTCCGCATAAAAAAACAGGGCTCTGTCTTGTACTGCAGTTTAGTATGCTCTTTCAAATGAAGAATAATTAAATATATAGAATAAGGAGCCATAGATAATTTTCGGTTGCCACCTGAGCTATTTTTGACTTTTATATGATGAATATTTCATGTGATGTAAATGCATCGGATTTAACGATTTTTCTTTAATCGAGATTATTTAAAGTTCATCCGTGACTATTTATCTCTAAAAATATATAATTCTTTCTAATGTAGAAGAAAAATATTCCTTGTTGTATGTCTCATACTCTTGAAAAGGATGTTATTAATCAATTGCGTATTCAGAATTTACCTCAGTTTTCACATCTATTAGTGAAAAGTAAATGGTATGAAGACTAATATATGTTAGACATAGTGTTTCGACAATATTTTAAAACTGACATTCAAGTAATTCTTTTCCGACAATGATTAGCTACGTGTTAGGTAGATCAGATGTCCGATGTGATATAGATTCGCATATTTCTTTTCGTAAACTAATTAAGAATGACGTGATTGATCACATTACTTGCTTAGAAATGACAGTAAAACGCATCTTGTTAAAGAGTTTATTTTCCTCATTAATATGTTTTAGTATAGAGATAAAAACATTATGTAAAATAATTTAAAAATGCAATACCGTTCATTTCTTCCATATAACTATATAAAAAGTAAAACAAACATAAAATCTTCTCTTCTAGAATTTTCACACATAGTCTTGTTGAGTGCATCTATATAAATATAATAGAATATCAGTGTTGATCTCCTAGTGATTAAGATTCATACAAGTTGAGAAACTTGTTTTTGCAGAAGCATAGATTTCACAGTTCTATGCACAGTCGACAATTTCTATAGCACACATAAACATAGTTTATTTTCCATTACAATTGAATTTTCGTTTGGTAATAAAAATATGTATTTAAGAAAAATTTATTTTATTAAATAATCCTTGAGAAGATCTTTGCTTCAAATTTTTGTTAAAAACAATCTTTACTTATAAAAGCGACAAATTATATATTGTTTGATGTAATTTTTAATATTAACTTCGAATATGTCATTATTTTATGATAAAGGTGTTTTGAAAGTTAGAACATTCTTCAAAACCAATGATATTTTGAAAAGCCTATATGTAAGTCTAGAAGCATTTTGGCATACATAGTAAAAAGTTCTAATTTCAGATTCTACACAATTTGTTATTTCACTCTACTTCACTTCTCTGAAAAAACAAATTTTTTGTTCCGAGGTCAATCCAAAAAAAAAAATCTTCTATATTTTTTATCCAAGTTTTTTCATAATGAAATCTTTTACTTCATTAACTAAAGCATATTCTACATTATTCAAATGATCAAACTACAAAGTTTTTTCGATTTCTTCTTTATACATAGTCAGTTAGACCTCATATTTATACCACATATACTAGATAATACTAAACAAACATATTTTACTGTTCGTCTGTGACTGTAAGAGAAACTGAAAAAATTCTGTATTTCCTTACTTCTAAGCCACTCTGTATGTCGAATATATATATATATTTTTTCTACATGAAAATCAAATTATCTATTCATATATGCTATTTTCATTTATTCTTATTTTATGAAATATTTTATACGTTCGTTTATTTTTCTTTTTATTCTTTCATAAATCTCTCAAATATAGAGTTGGTAACGGATGAGAGAGAAATTAAAAAACAAATGAAAATAGTCAATCAAAAAAAAAAAAAAAAACAATTTTTCTTTTTATTTCGATTTTTGACTAGCTGCTTGTGGTTGTGCTGTTGGTTCTGTTGGTCCAGTTAATTTCTTTGATTTCATAACCATAGCAACTATACGTTGTTCTTCTATAAGAAAAGCACGAACGATACTAAAAATAAAATAAATATTCTTTGTAATATTTTCTTCGAAATTTCTTGTTTTTACCGAAGTCGAACACATTTGGCACATCGTGAGCCTCCGTAAGTACGTGATACTGTTTTCAATCGTTTAGTCATTGTCATACGTTGTTTTGGACGAGATGCCTTAATCTAAAACAAAAAGAGAAGAAATACTATATTAACTAGATTCAATAATAAATGAAACTTACTCCTGGTAATTCAACTTTACAATCACCACATTTTGGCACTGCTCCACGTTTTTTTACATATTGATATGTCAATTTACCTCCGGGTGTCTTAACACTAAAAATAAATAGATTTTTGGTTTTTTTTTGTAATAAAATGAACAAAAAGAATTTAACATACATTTTAACCCGATTTGAATTGGTGTTATATGATAAACGACGACGGTAAGTTAATCGTTGTACCATTTTGATGAACTATTTTTTCTCTATATTAAGCAGAACTGCTCTTTAAAAAAAGAAAAAAGGAAAAAATAAATCTATATTTCTATTTCAACAATGAATAACTTTCTAAAAAAAATCAATGAAGAGAATAAATAAACAGATAGGTATTATAGAGCTTTTCATTGGTTATTTATTAATGTCGAATCAAAATATGATGCGAATCATCGATCCTCGCTCAAAGTGCATTTGTGTGTTAATGATTTCTCTTAAAGGGTGTTGCTAGTCATATATATTATTAATGGGTAAGCTCAGTGTTTCCAATCTTAAGGATCTCAAGTAAAAGCAAAATATACAAGAGACTTACGATCTTGAAAAAATATTGTGTTTTGTATTTTATTACAAAAAAAAACAACCAAGCACCATAATAATATTGAATAAAGTAAAAAAATGCACTTTGCTTATACATTGCATCTTTATTTTGAAAAGTTGCTCGTCTTCCTCTTACAGATGTATTCTAATTCTAAATGAATTTTTCTTTTATTCTTATCAAATGTATCATAGTATTAAATTAGAAACTTCAATCGAGTCAACTTCATACTCTTGCAATACAGTGATAAGTGGAACCAATAGTTTTTTATTCGGATTTCATTCTTAGTAATACATATATTAGCGAAAAATGCGATATCATTTTCAAACCGAGACATCTTGTATAACTTCTAAGATCCTTCCTCTTGGAGATTCATTACTTTTTCTAATTTATTAATACTCTGTCTATTTTTCTGATCGTTTACGAAGAAAAAAAGGAGTCATTTTATTATCAAAATTGCAACAGCAAATATTAAAGTGACCGTTACGGAATAATTTTTATAAAAACTTTTAGAACACATGAGTGATGAGAATATGATATTTGATACGAATTTTAAACGACCGTAGAAGATATTATTCACAATGAAAAAGTGTTGGTCTTGGTTCTGGTCAAAAAAAAAAACTGGTAGTGGGCCCTGGACCATCTTGCTCATATGTACTTGAGACGAAGGTATTAACATGCACGAACGAGTGCAATAATAATTACCTCTATTTTATCTTTTTTTTAAAATTATCTAGAGTACATATATAATAGTAAAAAATTAATTTAGTTAGATGAATATATGTCCATTTTTATCGGTATTCATATGGCAGTTGTTTCACATCGCCGCCCAACGAGATGGAACACTAGCTATAGGATTGCCCGACTAAATGAATAGTAAAAGAAATAAGACGTGTATATCGAGCGCATGTAAATAAATAGGTATCATACAGTAAAAAGAAGAAAAAGAAAAACAAAAGTCGATCGTTTTCTTTGAATAGAAAATCAATTCTAACTAATTTGTCCATGATGGTTTCACATAATGTTAATTCCTCGACTACAGTTGCTGATGATGTTAATTCATCAACAACAGCTGTTGGTGATGTTAATTCAGTAATAAAATGAAGTGATAATAGTAATTCATTGATCACGACTAATGATGATGATAATTTATGGTACGATGTGATTGTTATGTATGAGTCAGACTATGTTCCAATGACTTATGAACGAATGACATATGATCCAACGACAAGTGAACAAGTAAGATGGAATTAATAATATTGTTTTAGCAAAACTTTATGTTTAGATCAAGGAAATCGGGACAAAGATTAAATCTTTAAAGGATCAAATCAAAGAATATAGCCCATGTGATAAAAACCGGCGATTAATCGCGGTTTTACCGGTTCGATTACAGGCTCCCGTTGCTACAATTTACCGCGATAAATCACTGGTTCTGATAAATACTGTGGTTTATCGCTAAAAATTGTCCGGTATTTACGATATGAGAGATCAACTAGTCCATCTGCGTGTGAACTTGAAAAAGAATTAGATCAAGCAAAAGACAAAATGCGTAAATTGAAGGAAAAAAAGTAAAAAGTTTAGTTGTTTAAACCTTTCAAAATAATATTTTGTTAGAACAAGAGGACGAATAAGACAAAGAAAATATTTTTCATTAACAATGACATTATGCAGTTAAAATTCATCATAAAACTTTTTTCTTCTGAAATAATTCTTTTTTCTATGTGTAAAAGTAATTTTTCTGTCTTGTAAAAGTTTTTTTCTTATTCTCATTCTCGTAGAAAAGAGAAAAAAGACGCTTTAATAAAAAGATAACTCACTTCCCAACAAGATATATTACATAAAGAAAAATCATCATTTCGTTAAAATAATCATTGAGTTATACAGAAAAATGTCTATTCTTCCACAGAAGCACAACAAGTCATCATTGTAGAACAAAATTTTAATCTGAAGAATGATAAATGTTGGTTTTTATCGATCCTCGATGAATTTTGAGAAGAAATCATGACCATATGTAACTTCTAAGAGTAGCTTTGTAGTAGGATGAAAACAACTGAATGAATACTTGTTCAGTTTGACAGTATATAACTTTATCACGTTCGTGTCTCATGCGCAAGTTTTTCATATATACATATACTTGTGAAATATCTCGATCAAGCTCAATATTCTGCTGATATCCAAGTATTCCTAACTTCGAATGAAAAGCGTTGGCATCCAGTGTATTCGTAGCGCATCAAGGATCACTCGCTTCGAGTATGTTTTTCACCAGTCTTTATGCTCTTCATGAGTACTTTCGAAAGCCGACGAACGATTCATCCTTCCTCGGTTTCTATTCTAAACGGGCAGTATACGTGAAATATAGTATTATGAATTAGTATATGTGGCCGAATAAGTTCCATCGCTTTATTTATAACCATGAAACATCTTTGTAGCTTGTGAAGATAAACTAGATTAAATCGAAGATCTGCTGTGATAGCAACAACGATGATTGTATAATTTACAATTTAAAATTTTGGTGTTAGACATATGGATAATTGTGTATGGAACAAGGCTTGAAATGTGAATATAAGTGTAGATGTGTTGAAAGACAATAGTAGGAACTCAACAAAAGCCACTCACATTTTCACGGATTCGACGACCGTAGTGAGCTACTTGGTTTTTTCCCCTCACCATGCATAGTTCTTTTTGTTCTTCTGTCTCACATTTTGCCATATTTTTCCTTTTCTTCTGTCTATTTACTCTGTCTGTGCTTCGATAAAAGTTGGTGACATTTTCACTTCTGCTTGTTCTTGCTGCGCATAAGCGTTGTTTTGCATATTTTCTCAGTTTTTGAAATTAATTTATCACAAACTTTACAAACCATCGGTTGAAATTCTGAATTCAATAATTCTTTAGAAAAATATAACAAAACCATTAATTTCAATACAACATTACTCAGATGTCGGCATCCGCTGTCAAAACCTCGCAACAACATCAAAAAGAAAAAGACAGTGTAAGTACAACAACATCGAAGCATTTGTTCTTAAGTCAACAATTACATATGCACATGGTCGTTATCAATCGCCAGTCTGTAACTCTCTGTATTCAGTGAATTAAAATTTCTGTCTTACAAGGATGTGGGTGTGAGTGTCTTTCTTGCTTTAACTCTCATCCATACCCAAAATCTATATAGAGAGACAGAGGTCCCTCCTATAATACTTCATATAGCCAGCCTCTCATACTATCTATGTCACCATTTGAATCAAATCTATACTCTTTAATGTGAAAAAAAATTTAAAAAAACAAATGTAAAAAAAATTTGAAAAAAAACGAATTCACTGAAACTTTTGTCGCTGACTGTTGAGTTTTGATTCTACTTTTAAGAATCAAGTGTTGGTGCAAAGATCTGCCAGTGGTCACAAGGATCAAGATGGAGAAGAAGTGTATAACAATTCAGCACTTATCAATAACAATCATCATACGGAATCAAATACCGGTATTCTTGTATTTTTGAATGTATTATTTAGAGGCTAAGCTCTGCTAGTACTACGTAGTAACCTTATCAACAGTTAATAGTGTTGAATTGAGAGTGTTTCTATGAGATCGTCAAACTTTAGATCAGAAACTAAGCAGTGATTCAAAATTTGCGTGTGTCATTTGATATCATGGTCGGAGAAAATCATATCGAAAAATTTTTAAACAGAACATTTTCATGCATTCCTTTTAAACTTTTAACATGAAGTAGAATAAATCAAATAAAAACGATGCAACTCGATAGATGTCACAATATGTTCTATCCACTTAAATAAAAATAATAAATGTCAGATATTTTGCTGAAATCGAGACAATTAGTAGAACCTTATAAAGATGCATTCTGAATGCGAACTATCTCAAATATAATCATAAGTTTGGATCATTTTGTTTCAACATACTTTTAAAAATTTCCATATTTTTATTCGAAGTAGTATCTGATGATTAGGGTCAATAGAAACAATTTCATCTGATTCATTAACATATTTAGATGTTCAAGACCAAAAGTGCTCACGGTACGATTCATTGATTGAAAAGAATAAGACCTCTGATGGAACACCTGCGACTCATAACAGATCAATCGTGCGTCGTGAAGAATCATCAAGTGACTTTCAAACAAATGCTACACCAGTTAACATGCTCAATCGCTCATCTTTAACAGGATCCACTTTGAATCGGTCAGTTTCACAAATCCTGTTATAAGCTCATAGGTTTTATTCATTCAATAGACAATCTTCATTACCACAACAGCCTCAATCCAAAAGTGATAAACAGTCGGATGAATCACGTGTTGGACGTTCAGCGATACTTTCATCAAAACACCATCAGCAATCATTGCATTCATGTTCATCGAATGATAATAATTATACACTGTATAATTCCGATCATTTATCTCAAAGTCCTACAACTTTAAGACATTCAATTGAAAAAAGCAATACAAAGTTAGAAAAATTAAAAAGATCAATCGGTTCTTCAAATTCATTATCAGCACTTCCCTATGGTTCTTCAACAGAGAGCAGAACAAGTAAGAACTTCGAGAAATATACTCAAGCCTTAGAACATAAAATTTTCTACACTCAGAAAACGTTTGCGCATTTACGTAAAAAAAAATGATAAAAATTTCAATATTTTTAAAATTTTAACATCAATCGTTCTACAGTTACTGAATTAGCAAAGTTCCTTTGTTCTTATTTACTCCTACTTAGATAACTGACAGTGACAATAATGGGGACGTCGGACAGATGAAAATTACTCTATATAATATCTTTTCATTTTTGATAAGCTACAAAGTATTCCAAACGAGGCAAAACTTATTTTACACGACTAGCAAAAAATTAGTTTAAACAAAACGGATAAACCGCACCTTCTGAAAAGAATCTTATTCATACTCAGCCTACATCAAACGGTCTGAGGCACATGCAAACCATGGGTCAGGAACAAAATTTTAGACTCTTTCCAACCATGGATCTAAAAAAATTTTTATAGAAAAATATTTGCTTTGCTAATGTTTATATAAATGTTTCAATTTTTGGACACAGCATTTTTTTAAGGGCAAATAATCCGTTTCGAAAATTTCGGAAGGAACTAAACTTTGGCTTGCATTGACATGAAGCTAGAATCATTCTATTAAAACCTATAGAAACAATGCAAAAAGTCTAGCAATTAGAAACTTCGGTATTGAGAAGTATAATTTATCGTACTACTTCAACAGTTATTTTGATGAATTTCACTTTTAAGAATTAACGAGTACAAGTTTGTGGAATCTGAAACTTCGATAATGGTAGAGAATTTTATGGTATAGTTTTACAACAATGCAAATTCTTTCCATTTGCCTACAGTAAGATAGGGATAGCATAAAAGACATTTCATCATGATTCCTACGAAATAAAAATATAAAACATAATACAGCCACCCTTACCAATATGAAAATACCTATTCATTCGTGTCTATTGCAATCCGTATTAAAAAACTACTGAATCATGACAGATACACCAAAGTGCCTTGTCATGATCCACAGAACAGATCTAGGAGGAGGAGAAGGATAATTTCGCTTGTATCGTTGTATCCTTCAATAATCATTAACCATTATTTTTCACAAAAAATGAAACTTACAAGCGTTTTGATACACACATCACCAATTTCAGATGCAGGTGACCAGAAATATCAAGAAGGCGATGAAATAATTGAAAGTAAAACTATCACGGGCGAAACAAATCAAAATCATAAATGCCGAACACTCAGTAGAACAAATGATTTAATAAATCAATCCTTACAATCGACGTCAAAACCTACTTTGCGTACTTCTAAATCATTTGATGCATCTGTCCGTCATCGATTAACTCCACCACATACACCTCCATCTACTCCAGAGATGTTACCAAAAGGAAAACGACGATTGCACGTTGTTTCATTAAATTTATCTACATCTGAAGAAAGTAATGATTCATCTCGGCCATCCATTTTTTCTGGTTCAAGTCATATGAAACAACAGAAACAAAATAAGAAAGAGACACTCATTGTTCCATCCCATACTCCTCAACGATCTCCATATGATCAAACCTCTTCGCCGATAGATGATCAACAAAGATTGGAATCACCTGCATATGACCAGGCTTATTATCAATCACGGGAAATCGTCAGACGACCGAAACAGTCGATCAATATTGCGTACGTACCTTCATTACCATCTAACGACTTTAGTAGTAAAGAACTTGAGTCGACAATTCATAATTGTCTGTACCGTGATTACCAGCTACTAGTAAGCGATATAAAATGCAGTTCACAATTAGATGTCGGTATTGTATATCTACGAAACGAGAAAGACAAATCTCATTTAGTTAACACTATCAAAAGCATTAATATCAACTCAAAATCAAATGAAACGGTATCATTTGTAGCTGAATTCGAGTTAGTCTCCTATGTGGTTATCGAGCCTAAGAATACCAAAGATCTTCCACTGGCCAATGATATATGTCAACAATGGATAAAAGTCTACAATGGTAACCGACCATTGAAATGTGAAAATTTATGCGATGAATTTCGGAATATATTTCGAGTAGTTACAAATATATTTGATGAACTTACCAATACTATACCAATAACTGAATTCTTAGTTGGAAAGCAAAAGGCTACTGTTTATTTTCGAGCTGATTGTTGTTTTTTCGAAACTTTACCGAGAACATTTAATGAAGATAATTTGAAATATGCTATTGGTAAACAAATTTCTGAAAAGAATATATCAAATGAATCCATTTATATTCGATATAACAAAACAGAAGCCAATGCTGTTGTATTAACATGTAATAAAGCTCGAAAATGGGGATTATTTCGTTCAATCAATTTAGATGGACAATTTATTATGAAGAAAGATAAAATCATTTATCGTTTTATAATGCGATCTATACCCAAAAATATTTCGGTTTCATATATCAAAAATTCCGAGATTTTTGCCGGCACCGTTATAAAGGCGATATCGTGTGACAATGATATCATTCTGGAACTATTGAGCAAGAATGTCTATGAAAAATGTCTCAAACAAGGTGTTTTACGTATCAATGGTCATACTATAAATATCGAAACCTATTCATTGCCGAATAATTATGAAGATTTGGAAATTGATGCCGACAATTGGTATGAAACAGAAATGTGTGCTTATAAATCTGATATTATGCAGTTTATTATTCAGCCTGAACATCCAATTTTTCAATTCAAATGGAATTCAAAAGCATTTTTAGAACAATTTCATCGTTGGACTTTGAAAGATACTAATGAACGAGATCATCATGAAACAATAAGTAATCAACAGCGTCATTTATTACGAATGACAGTAATGTTAAACACAATTGGCATTTTGAAAAAGGGAAGTTACTATATAGCTGACAAGGAAATCAAATTGAAATCAGATCAATTGAAAACAATTGTCTACAATCATCAGTCGAAACTGCAACATGGTAAGACAATAAAATTGTCAGCTGCAATCAACTATCCATATAAAACTACATTAGTCAATGTAATAAATGAAGATTGTCTCATTGTTTACGATTACTTAGTCTCTCAGGGATGTCGTCCATTGCTTCTCAATATGGCGAATGCATATTCACCAGGTGGTGGTTATCGTAAAGGTGACGGTGCACAAGAAGAGAATCTTTTTCGTCGTTCTGATTACTTTCGAAGTCTCGATATGGATCTTGACGATAGAAAACCAACAGATCGTTTTTACTGTACATCAAATGGTGAATTAAAATCGTTAACCGAACGTAATCGAATGTATCCAATGGATGAATTTGGAGCGATCTATACATCAGGATTGACATTTTTTCGTCATTCTGAAAATGTTGGCTATGATTTCATGGATAAACCTATGTTCAATGTATGTGCTATAGCCATAGCTGCTTATCGAAATCCAAAACTAAATGATAATAATAAAAATCTTCTCAGCTCAAAATATTCGATTCGTATGCGCAAGAAAATTGAAAATATTTTTGCTATTGCTCATCATCATAAGCATGATTGTCTTGTTCTTTCTGCATTTGGTTGTGGTGCTTTTCGAAATCCACCAGAACATGTTGCAATAATATTTAAATCAGTTATCGAACAATATGCAGGATTTTTCAAGAGAATTTGCTTTGCTATTATTGATGATCATAATACTGGTCATGAATTTAACCCTCATGGAAATTATCAACCTTTTCGAGAAGTACTCGATAACTTGGAAATCAAACCCACACGACAGAAAATGATCGATATGATGATTGGACCTTGGCGAATTTTGAATGAAACAAACAATGATGAAATAACCTTAAGTAGTGTTCGAATTCATGATTTACCTTTGTGCCGTTATGGAGGTAGATGTAGAGACTTAGAAAACAAGCAACATTGTCGTGAATATTTGCATCCACCACTATGTCCGTACGCTAATAGTTCGAAATATTGTGAATTGAAAGACAATAATGATCATATGCTTTGGTTCAAACATCAAAGAAAATCTTCACATGATGCTAAACGTGAACTGATCGACACTCCAATGAATAATATGGACATTGAATACGATGTTAATAATAAAAAACGCATAACAGAAGAAAATCGTTCGTTTCTGCAAACTTGTCCATTTACGCCATATCATTGTCGATATCATACTTTACTATCGGAATCAACAAATATTCAAACGCTAGCACTCGATGTTCGAAATCATTGTCGTGAGTTTTTACATGTGTGTCGATTCGGTCGTCAATGTCGTGAAACATCAAGTTTACATTTGGAAAAAACCATTCATATTGCACGCAACATGTGTCCATACGGAGATAAATGTTTCAAACTGTGTCAAGAAGATCATTTGAATTCATTTTCACATTTAGGCATCCCTGATATTCGTCATCTATGTATGTCTCCAGCCTATGAGTGTCGAGATCTACAAAAGCGCGAACATATTATCCGATATCGACACAATGGAAATTACGATCGTAGTGGTGTCATTCAATATTGTAGATTAAATAAACATATAGATTTTCTTCGAAATCAACAAATACTGATTGAAATAATTACTGAGTATACTAAAAATTTGCAATCGAAAGTTTCACTATCAATTTCAAATTCAATTCAAAGATATATTAAAGGATTACTACCAGTTTATCAATGTTCAAAAGTAATTTTTGAATTAATACTTGTTCATGGTCATGTTATGTCTCACAAACGTATAGATGAGCTGAAAATACCGAAATACTTAATCCAAAGTATTCAACGAAACAAAAAAATTGAATCGATAATCACACAATATAATAACCCAACACTTAAAGATCGTATAAAAGATTATATTAACGCTATTGTCTCTAATGAATATAGTAAACGAGATCATCAAACTAAATCTAGGATGACTAATACAAGAACGACTTCTTCTCACTTATCAACAGTAGAAAGACCTGATGATGATTTTAACAATACTATCCGTAACGAAGAAAATTTTTTGAAAGGTATACTAAGTCTAACAGACATCGATATCATTCGTCGATGTGTCATGGAAATTATTGAAGCATCATCGAATCTTGAAATTAATTCCACTAGTAGTCGAAAAACATCTGAAGAATTATCCGATGTTGACGAACATATTGATACTATTCTTGGTCCACGACTTCATCCTGATGGTGGAAATATTGTTCTTATATTCAAAAGGCAAGTAATGCTTCATCCAGATGCAAATTTTTCCATTCAATCAAAAGCTTCATTTTTAAATGGAACTACATTCATTCATCGACCATGGATCAAAGATTCGAGTACACGCGAAGAGCGATTCAAGCAATTTCAGAAATCAAAATTACATTGTTCAATATTGGGATATGAGCATTCAGCTGCAGCTGAACTTATAGCTGCAACAGGTTTGAACAAGAAAACAATGGATGTCGATTTAAAAGCAATTATAAAACATTTGACAAGTATTGATTCAGATCAATTATTCGAAGGTCATTTACCTGATTTTATTCCTCTGAATTACATAGCAGAAGTTTACATACCGAAAAATCTCTTTGCATCTCTTACACCAACAGCTCAAACGGCAGCCAAATCGATTTTTCGTGATTCATTGCGTATAACAAATCATGAAATCAATCTCAATCCTACAGCTAGTAGAGAATCACGTGTGTTGCAGAAAAATCGTACTGAATATCAACAGCATGTTATTGATAAATTGGTTGAAAAGTTCGACCAAAACATTAATTGTGTACAACAATTACGCGGGATTGCTATTACTTTACCGTCGAGTCGTTTCGTCGAACATGTCGCATTACCTTTCACAATAGCGCAAATTTATGATCAATATCGTCGAAATAGAAAACAAGATTCAATTTCCGATGAAATCTACGTTTATTTTCAAGCGATGTATGGTGATGTAATGATCACATTATCGAAAGAACGAATTGATGGCGTTGAAAATCGACGAGCTGTACAATGTCTTGTGTGTTATATTGCTGAAACACCATCGACTACACCAAGTGATTATAAAGAATCCTATTCATATTTGAATTATGGTGACCCATTTCAACATGCATCTATTATGGATAGCCATGCGTTTTTAGCACATTCAAATACATTCCATCGTGGTTGTAATGTAGATGATTTTCTTAATTATTGTTTAAAACTCGAGAAAAACACTGGTCAAGTGACACTTTCACATGTTGGACCGAATAGTATCTACAATTATGACACAATTTCCTACAGATTTAAGAAATCTAACCTTGATTTGAATGATTTAAATTATATTCATATCAGTGCTGGTTTACGACAAGTACCTATTCGAAATATGATGGTTTGCTTTCATCAAGTGCCCGAGTTACATCCTACATTTGAAAAAAATTTTAAACGAAATAGCACTTCTCTTAGTCAACAAAATCCTCATAGTTCTGATCGTTGTCAATCTGCAGCAGCTGCAAAATCGACAGACGATAAATCACAATCGACTTTCTCGAAATCTAATAAGTTGATCCGTAGTCCATCTAGTTTTGATATTGATAAAGAAAAACTAAGACCATGTCGTGATTCAATTAATTGTCTTCAACAAACATTAGACGATCACTGTAAGCGATATTCTCATCCCTGTCGATTTTCTGAACTTTGTCGTAATCAAGACAAAGAACCATATTTGACACATGAGCCACATCCAGTAGAAAAATGTTTACATGATACATTCTGTAAGCGTCTTGATGACCCTTTCCATCGAGCGACATATCGGCATACGAATCTTCCTGATTTTCTTATTCCATGTCGAGATCAACGAACTTGTCAAATTCGATCAACAGAGCATCGAATAAAATATTCGCACGGTGAAAATGTCGAACGAATATCAACAGTAGCAACAATCGATAAACCACGTAAGTTGTTTTCTTCAAAGCCAAAAGCAAAAATCAAAACTAATTTTCTTTCTTCGTTTGTTTTGTCAATTAAAAGGAATGCTTTCTCAAGCCTCATCAGTATCATCTGAAAGTTATGCTGAAAAGCAACATAATCGTCATGAAAATCGTGATGAGCAAATACCTTGTCGATACGGATCAAAATGTCGCGACCAAAATAATTCTGGACATTGTTCTCGGTATTCTCATCCATCCGAACTTGGACTAAAATCTTCATTTAATCAAGATCGTTCGCGAATACCGTGTTCTTTTGGTTCTGCTTGCTATAATACTAGTGATGCTGATCACTGCTCAAAGTATTCGCACTCCAGCGTGCAAGGATATCAACCTGAAGCTATTGGCAATCATCAAAGAATACAATGTCCTTCTGGTATCAAATGTCGAAATAATGATGCTCTTCATCTATCCAAATACTCACATTCATTCAAATAATGAAACATAAACTGATAACTTTGATTTCAAATAATTAACTCTTGAAATTTGCACTACTTTTTTTCTCTCTCTCTCTCTCAAAATAAAGTCGATTCTAAGAAATTTCTCTAATCATGTCTTACGATTTTACAGAATTCCATCCATGATTGAGATGAAATTGATGAAAAGTGAAGCTTTACTCGCTGGCAAGAGATCTTAGACAATAATTTATTGAAGATATGTGACGAAAGTCTTTCCAAAAAATTAGATACCTCGAACAGGTGAGTTACCATGCTTTAATAGACTGACCCAAGCTTGATCTTGTGTTTTTTGCCGATATTTCACGCAAACACTGCTTCCACTGCTGCTCACATCTGATGTTCGATATTCGTTGATGACTGCACCTACTGCTAACATTTATGCATTCTTTTAATTAGAGCATTCGACTGTTGAGATTTAGTGGTGACCCCACTTTTATGTCCTAGTCTGAAGATCATTAAATATCAACGAAGAACTTTTGTCTAATATTCTTTTTTCGGCATCAAATCAAGTCTCATCATTGGAAAATTTAAGTTAAATACTCCTACATAAGTTGTTTTTTCATGAACCTGGATAGATTGTTTGGGAATAAAACTAAGGACACAAGCTACACACTTGATGGTGTTTCAAAGTGTGATTTATTCACTTCGAGTATTTATTTTTCTTTCGCTCCTGTCTTGTTACTTGTTCTGTTTTTCCTTTTGCATTTAAGATGACCGAACGATGCTGGTTTGCATTAGCAGGATATTTCACGCGATGCCACATGTATAGCATTGCATGATTTGTATAATAACCTTCTCAAACATAAAAAACCATGTTTCAGCCAGATGTTGAAATGTATGTTGAATATACGGTATATTTAGTGGAAGCTTTATCATTTAAGTGAGTTTATAATAGTTTTATGTTGTGAGTTGCTCCTGCTTTTATAAATACTCGTTTAGACAAAGAAATGCAAAATAATGATATGTGGCAAAAGCGTCATGATAACAACTACATTTTACAATGCGTTTTTGTTAAATTTTATTTGTTGCATGATAAAATGAGGGTATTTATAATTTTGGAATTCCCTTTTCGTTGTTCTTGCGCAGACTTCGACTAAGATTTGATGGAATAGTTGGTTGCATGAGATATTTTACATTTAGATATTGTTGCAAATGCATTTTATCATCTGACGGAGAGTTAAGTCGAAAGAATCAAATTACGTTTAAAGCATGTTATTGAGGATAGCACTACGTCTAAGATTCTATCGTTATGATTTTTCAAGCAACTACGTAAATACCATGTAGTGATCTCATGTCCACTTCGTCATTACCTCCTATGATGAAAATATCAGAAATCTATGACAAGACGCTCCATGATGATAAATCATCAATAGTTCTGATTAAGTTAATTTAATATCATTAACCACTCAACGGAAGTATGAATCTACGAGCTCTCTTCCTCGGCATCATATTTTATTGTAGGTGCATGCTATTCCGAATTCTTTTTTCTATTATTGTGAAGATCGTAGCAATGTTTTGGACAACTTCATAGATCAGTCAATAGTTTTCATTGACTACTATACAACATTATACAGTATAAATCTTTAAAATGTCTGATTATCAAGCTCTATCGCCGTTAATATTGGATGGATTTTTTAGTTAATGAAAATAATATATTGGTTTACAAATAATATTCATGTAGTGTGTCTTCGTTAAATGGTAGGAGACATAGATAGAAAAGACTTATTTGAATCTCTCACGAATTTAATTGTCTAGTCTTATATTTATCTCTTTATATTCATTCTAGATTGAACTACACGATGTACAACCGAGATGGACACGATAGTTTCTCACGACTGGTCAGGCATATGTGAACATCTGTCAGAGCTTTAGAAAGCACATGCTATGTCATTTCAATCGTTAAGGTGTACTGCAAAAATACGAAAGACACTAATTAGCTCTTGCAAAATTTATTGATAAAGCGAAACAAGACAGAAGCGTGCGACGCGTCTAGACGTCAGTCTGTAAGTAAAAGTGGTTGGATGATCACGACTATATTATTAGTGTTATGCCACCCTGTAAATCACGAATTGATAGTGCATTTCGAATAGTTTATGATGTCGAAAACACTGCAAGTTCAGTTGGTTTATGGATACTTTAAAGATTAATTTGCATAGCTGTAATGCATGGTAAACGAAGTATATATACTGATCGTTCATAATATTTATCGAAATAGCGACTGTATTTCAGCGTCTGATCAAACATTGTAAATGCAGACAATTGAACATCGTAAAATTGACGTGTTTTCATGTTTATTAACTAAAAACGAACCGTAGACATTATTCGTTTTGATCGAACTGATGATGATTAAAGATTTAGAACATCAAAATTTCATAGTACTACGACAATGTAGACGTGAGTACATAGAGTGTCCATTCGAAAAATGTTCTTCGAAGTGAGGATTTCTTAGTTCTACTAAACCAAATATTTGATCAAAATATCGACTCTAAAGCTGTTAATAAATGAGAGTACTTTCCTCATGAAATAGTTTTCATAGCAAAATTTCTTGATTTGCTTAGTGATTATCATTAGAAGTAGCATCATTCAATAGAGAATCCAATTCTGCATCTAACGTCTCTACTTAAAAAGCCAAACACAAGTTGTAGAACAAATTCGAACAATAAAAGGTCGAATATGATGTTAACTTTACTTATGTCTGATAAACACCAGTTTATGCAATGAATATACATTTTAATTTAATACTACATATAGCTTTTAAGGATCTAAAATCAAAATATAGATTTACTCAGCAAAGTGTACATAACACACTATTTTTCTGAACGACGTGTAAAGCAGCATGTATTTTAGAAGCAGCAGATGTTCTCTACATTATACTTCTACTTGGTAGACCTACTATTGAGAACACTAAAATGAGGTAACTATTCATGAAGATTTCAAATATCAATGAAATTCTCCGAGGAGAGATTGGAATGAAAGCAAGAAATTATTAAAAGAATAAATGATACATTGTGAGATACTCTTTAAATGAGTTTATTGAAATGGTTTTCTTTCTACTACAATCTATTCTAAATCTATATGTCGTCTTCAATTGATATTTATTGTTAAATTTTCGGATTAATTATTAGTAAATGTAATTCCATTTTCTATTCGAATATTTAATATTGAACAGATTAGATTATAACGCCAAATGTTATTTTCAAAGACCTGCCATATCAACAGCTTTGAAATAGTTTCTTTCTACAAATCTTTTGTAGTATAGATATATGTTACAAGTATTTGAACATTGAAATGTTGATTCCGTGTATAGTCATATACGCATTGAGTAGAACAAAGTTCGTAGTTATACATTGACTATTAAATCTCTTTCATTCAAATCTCTAATCAAAAACAAATTCTAACTGATTTCTAATACATGTGCTACTCTGCAGTAGTTTCTTTCTTTAATTGTTACATTGCTCCAAAATCAATTAAATTCTATTGAAGTAAAAATATTTCCTCAAAAATTCAAACATAGATATGAAAATCCGATCAAATTTTTGATTCACATAATAATTCATATTTTGCTGCATCAAAATATATTCAATCAAATAACAAAATTTTATATAATTTTTCTTTTTTTAATACTAAATGATAATGTCTTATAACTCGAAGGCATTGATACAATAAATAAGCGAATAAAATATTTTCTTTTCTAAATCAGATACAGTGCGCTCAAAATTAATCACATACTTAATAGATGATTTCGTTTTCCTAATATTTAACGAATGATTCAACATTTTGCATTACCAATTTTAATAAAATATAGTTCATAATTTATTATCATCAATTATCAACTCCTTTCCGTTAGATAACAGAAAAAAATGAAAAATGATATCCTTTAACTTCTTTTCACATTGATTATATTGAAAAAAAAACTGCGTATCTGGTGATGTTGAACCAGCAGTAGTGGCGGAGTCAGAACATTACCATCTCTCTTATTATGAATGAACAATAGCACCTTCGCTAAATGCATCGTTTTATCAAGATTACATGATATCAATAGAGTAGCTGTACTTTTCACTATCCTTTCCAAAACAATAGCGAAGCTAAAGTTTTAGTGTCGCTGTTAGCTACTCTACTGGTAATTTGTATCCTGGATAATATAACACGCATAGCAATAGCACTATCCACCATTATCCAACCAAAACACACCGGATGTTAGTGTTCTGCCTCCATTGCAAACCAGCAATTTCAAGGACTTATTTTTTTTCTTGAGAGATTTTTCTATAAATCGCAGTTATATATCTTATCACTAAACGGAAGGAAGTAGACTGAAGTTAGACACTTAGGGTGAACGATCAACTAAGACTCTCGGTTGCCCATAACTCTTAAAATATAACAAAAAAACAAAGTCATCTCTGTTGACTATATGATAAATTTTGAGCGTCATTGTATTTACTTTGTTGTTTTTCTTCTAGTCAAAAAGTAATAGTATTCGAAGAACATGAAACAATTATCTTTGTTTTTCTTTAGTTGGTAGTCTTCATCGAAATAATATATTAAACTACTTGGTTAATTTGCAACAAAATTCTATTCTAAAAACAAAATGTTTAATTGATATTAATGTGAAAAAGATTTTCAAATATCATTTTTGTGGTGTTGAATAATATCGATGTGGTCTAGTTGATTTTTGTCGATTAGCACCAGTTTGTTTTCCTTTTGTTGTTGGTATATCAGGAAGAATTGGTATATGTTCAATTTCTTCTTCTAAACGTTCAAGTTCAGCAGCTGATTTTAAACTTTTATATAATTTCCATTCATCACGTTCTTCATGTTCAACTAAATCTAAATCAAAATCAGCATCACTTCGTCTTGTACTTTTATGTAATAAATATTGTCGAGCATGTTCACTTAATTTTGGTGCTAATGCTTTCATTAATATATCAAGTATATCTTTTATTTGAGCTTCTTTAGCTAAATCAACAGCTGTCATACCTTCCCAATTATTTAATAATGGATTTGCACCATTATCAATTAGAAAACGAACAATTGGTGCATGATTAAACATAGTTGCAGCATGTAAACACTGAAATAGGAAGAAAAAAAAACAAAATTCTAAATTTATAAAATAAGATAAAATTTATTTAACAAACTGATTCTCCATTTTTAAGTAATTCAAGATTTGGTTTATATTTGAGCAATTTTTGAACTAATGATTCATATCCTTTTTGACATGCTTTAAATAATGGTGTTGCACCATCTTCACGTGCTAAATCAATTGTTTCTTTTATATTATCAACATTTTCAGTAATATAATCAAATATTGTTTCATGTCCATGTTGTACAACAAGAAATAATGGTGTAATACCATCTAAACGTTGTATATTTAAATTACATTGACCAGTTGATATAAGTATTTGTACAACAGATAAATGTCCATTTTGACATGCAAGCATTATAGATGTTGTACCATCATTCATTTTTGCATTTATATTTGCTTGTGAATTAATTAATAATTGAACAATATCAGTAAAACCACGTTCACATACAACATGTAATGGTGCTGAACCATCAAATGTTGCTAAATCAACAATAGCTTTATATTTATTTAAAAGAAGTTCAACAATACGTGTATGATGATATAATGCAGCAAAATAAAGTGGAGAAGCACCTGTTATACGTCGAGCATTTGGATCAGCACCATTACTTAAAAGATAATCAGCACATGAATAATGTCCACGTGCACATGATAATAATAATGCTGTTGAATTTTCTTTATCACGACAATCAATTTGTATACGTGCTTTAGTTACAAGTTCTTGTAAAACATTTAAATTTCCTGTTAAAGCAGCTACATGAAATTTTTGATTTAATGCACGATCAGGTGGACCTGATGATGTTGGACGAGGAGATGGTGATGGAGAACGTGAAGATAATTTTGTATTTCTTGATAATGACGTATTAAGCAAATGACGACCATTTTCAGTTGGTTTTATTGTTTTTTTGTCATTATTTTCATCATTATCATTATCATCATCATCTGTTTGCTGATGATTTATCTCAGGTATTATGATAGAATTGTCACTCATTGATATAATAGTCAATTACATTCAAAATTTAATTTCAATTATGTTCGAAACATTAATGAAAATTTGTTTCTTTCGGTAGATGATATTAATACGAGGATAAAAACAGTAGATAAGTAATAGAAGCAATAGAGAATCACAAAAACAGAAGAATCAACCAGTCATCTAAGAGAGAAAGAAGGAACTTTTTCTTCGCTGTTACTATACATACAACGTTTTTGTATTACAAATAGAGAATAGTGAGATAAGCCAGCAAAGAGGGAAAAAAATATATATCTTCCTTGAGGATACTAATATGTGCAGAGAAAAGAATATGTAGGCGGCTTTTTTTTTCCTCTTCATATATCGATGTCGGTTATAGCCTAAGTTTAGCTCATTCATGTCTTTTAGGCCTTGTCTTTTTACATATTTCTTCGTCAATGTGGCAGAGTATATACGAGAGAAAGTCAGATAGAAATAGAACAATGAAGTAATACAGAAAAAGATTTGTTGATTTTCCGCACTGGATATTTTTATAATAAAATAAATATAAATATTTTTCTTTCATGTTTGAATAATAAAAACAATTGAAAAAATGTGAAAATTAGAATTCACCAAAATTATTCATAAAATAACAAACAAAATATATACAAATTTATCATTGATTCAAAAATTTTGATACAAATACACATCTACACACATTCAAATGAATAGTTCTTTCAATAATGGAACTCAACTTAAATTTTTTTTTTGTTGTATCTTATTAATATAATTGAAATCTAATAATCTTTTACTAACGAATAAATAATTTAGTTCTACAACAGGACATTACGTAAGATTCATACATGAATTTTTATTTTATCCATGCAAATAGTCGATAATACAAAAGAAATAACATATGCCGTTGTTTATCACTGTAGAGTAAGAAAGAACATATAATCGTTATCATAAAATGTCGTATTTGTATACATAATCTTACTCTTTATTTTTCATACATTCAAATTTATCTATATTGCTTGATTATATTTTTTTTATGCTTCTATCTCTTATGACTGGCTTCTTTTTTTTTCTTCTTACTCATGCAATAAGGTCATTTTTTTTTTGTCTCTAATCTATCAGAAGACGAGCATTGTATATATACAGTTTTTATTATATAGTGTTATTCTACAAATGAAGTGATATATAATTACATTTGTACTATTGAAATATGAAGAAAAAAACACAGATGACAATATTTATCATTGCTCTTATTGAGATACAATTATGTTCAACTTAATTATCGATAAGTATACAAGACATTATTTTTAGCAATGCTATATATAGCAACAGCATGTTTCTCATACTGACGCTTTTGAACATATGATATTCTAATTATATATAGTAATCTATTGCTTAAAATTCATTAATTGGATACAATCGATGATCATATTGAAGATACAATAGTTCTTCTTAATGTAGGTCTTTTACATAAATAAGATTCTCGGCGAACTCGAATGAGTTTAACATGTTTTAATTTTTTATATGAAAATCGAATAAGTAATGATGATATGCTTTATATATTGAATTTATTCATTATAGAATCTATTTGATGAATTAGAAAAAAAAATAAGAGGAACAATCATTTATTTAAATTAAAAAATAAACACGTTTTTTTGTGTTCGTAAAGCATTCGTATCACTTTGCATCTCCATACCTTACGTTCAGGAGATTTTCAGGGATTAGACTACGAAGTTTGTGTTATTGTCATCTGAAAATGTAATGGAAGTTTGTTTTGTATAGTCTTCCTATTATTATTTAAAATGAAGATGAAGTATAAATATATATTGTATGTCAATCGAAGCACTTGTCTATGTACATTAGATTATCTTTGTATGAAACACATCACTATAGATGATGCTACCTATCACTACCTTTATATTAGTTATATTATTCAATAATATAGTAAAGACAGAAGAATTACAAATTAATTTGGAGTGTGAGTGAAGAAATGGTTCACATTCACATCCTCATTTCATTGTAGATCCCAAAAATGTGTTTCTAAGATGCACAAGATTTTATTGCCTGTGAAAAATAATTGTTTATTTTGAAGATCTAATTCTACAAAAAAAATTTCTTAATTACTCTATACATCATTATTTGTCCACATAGTCTCAACGATTATTCATAAAATCTTCGAGAATCTTTGAGAATCAAACTGATTGTTATATATTCGTACACTAGGCAACATCTTCATATGTTTATCTAAAAAATTATTTTTTTTTGACAAGAACCAAGTTTTCTGAGAGAATTCTTAAAAGATATGACAACGGTTAATTTTATTCATCTTTTTTTTTCTGTGAATAAAAATAAAGCATCTTACTATTTTAATATTAATTATAAATAGAATGTACGTAGATTTTTTAGAAATTATATGAAAAACGAGAAAAATTATTTATAAATAAGAATGAAATTTAATCTTAAGAAATTCAATGGTTATTCAGCGTAAAGGCTAACGAGGGAACTCCTTACGATTTCAATAACCTTTTGTCTATAGATACTACAAAATGTTCTAATAAAAACCCTGAAAACATTTACATTCCTATTGATATGTGACTAAGCTCGTCGAATTTTGATCTGAAATTTTGTGTATATAGAGAACTCAACTAGACTAACGCCCATAAAAAAATTCAAAAGTTTAAAACAAAGTCTCTTCGAGATAAGAGGATGTGGATATGGGAATGTAGTGATGTTTGGATTTACGTATGATCGTGTGTCCGTGGCTAGTAGTGTGACATGTGCACCCTGATCCACACTTGGACTTACAGCCAAATGCACAATCACCTTCGTGAAAGAATGTTTCGATGAAGCATTCAAATGATCACAGTTAATAGTTAGGAGATTTTCTCTTGACGATATCAGAAATAATATTCTATTAAAATTTTCCTGTTAATTGATCATTGATGTTATCGAACAAGTATTTATATAATGGTAGCTCGTGAAAAAATGAAAAGAATATATCATTACCCTTATGAGTGTACGATAAATAATGTTTCTTCTTCAATATTCGATTATATCATGTAAAAATATTCAAGATTTATTTTGTTGTTTTAAGATTTTCTTTAAATATTGCTGGTAGAAAAATGCATCTGTTAATAATTGCAAGAAATAATTCAAATTCGGATATAAAAATATAAATGAAATGAAAAACATTCATCAGTGATATTTACCAAATCCGAGGACCAAAAATCCTAAAGCTGGTTTTCATCTGATACATCTAGGATTCGATGGGATCATGTTGGATTTACATCTGAACATTGTTTGACTCCTTCCTCTCGTATAATTAGCTGAAAATTAACAACTTTATTTTTCACTTATTATTATTTTCAATTATTCAATAATAAAATTAAAATGAAGAGAAAAGTAGAATCAATAATTTATATATTGTCTATTTGTTGAGTTGTATAACTTTCATTCTTACTGTAAACAGTCGTTTGAGAGCATGAATATTTGAACTGGATTAGTGAAAAATGATTTCACGTCATCATAAAAAGTACTAAAAATATATTTTGGATGCTGTCTAATAATCACGAAAAGCAAAACTATTAGACTGTTTGTTACTATGGGATTTTGTTAGATTCGAGGAATTTCCACTGTTGGATATCATTGGATTCGACGGGATGACTCCAATCTGGGATGCATCCAAAATATTCATTGTTATGATTATTTTTAGAGATTAAAAACCATCCTAATAGCAAACAGACAAATTTTCTGATAGTTAGAAAATCATATTGAACACTTTATATTTTTTTTCTTTCTTTTAGTGTAACATCAAGGATAAGACATTCGATTTCTTGAACGCCTATATCAAATATCCAAAGCTAGTTAAATCTACTTTTTCTAATGCTTTTGTATGATATCAATAGAACAAATTTAATTTCACCAAAAGACAGTAATCGTTTAAATCAGTAGTGGATTTAGAGCGAGGCATCGGAAGGCGGTTATTCCTTTCTTCTGAAAACTTTTTCAATCTTTCTCAGCAGAAAATGCTCAAAAATAAGTTGAAATCCAAGATTTGCTACTAGTTAAAATTCTACTATTACCAATTATTGGATGTAACATACGTTAATCATTACTAGTCTAACTTCGATTGAGTCTTTATGTAATTGATAACGATAATATTTGGGATGTATAATCAGTTAGTATACGATTGTTTTGAATTCAATCTTTTTTTTTGTAAGACGATTTTTTAATTTATTCATCTATTTTAATTGTTTATGTCAAGAAAAAAAAACAACACAAACTCAATAGAGATATTTTAATATAAATTTCATTAAAAAGCGCTAATGAATACACCCATGAACAACAAATAAAAAGCACTAAGTTATTTAAAAATGAACTATATATTGTCGCTAATTTTTTTTTTCATTTTCTGCTTCTTCTTCTTCTCCACCTTCACCTTCTCCTTCTCCACCTTCTCCTTCTCCTCCTTCTCCTTCTCCTTCATTATTTTCATCTCCACCTTGTTCTTCTCTACCAGCATCTTCATCATTTTCACCAGTTGGTGTTGGATGTGGAGGAGGAGGAACAGGTTGATGACCACCACCACCATGACTACTTCCACCACTTTGTACTACTGTCCATAAAGCTTTGTGATGATCAGTTGTTTGTTTTTGTATATTAAATCCATTTCGTCGAAGAACATCAAGAACACGTTGTGGACCCTCTTGACAAAGAACACCTTCTTGATGATCAGATAATAAATCATTTGAAATATTTTCTTGTAAAATTCGAATCTATGAAAATAAAAAAGAACAAAAAAAATTTTTACTATTTTTTTCCATATTAAAAAAGAAGTTTAATAATAAATAAAAATTTACAAAATTATCTATTAACATACAACACATAAAGGAAAACAAAATAAATCATTTAATCGTTTATTTTGATTAATACATACCACATCTGGTGGGATCTTATAATGTTGTACACCAGTTGAATGAATAAGTGTTGGACCACTTTGTGAATTATTTAAATCACATGATAAAGTTAATTGAAGTACCATAGATATATTTATCTTGTTGTAAAAACAAAAAGAGTACTACAGAATTTCTTATCTTATAATGCACAAGCTTGCTCTTGCTTTCTTTTTCTTTTTCTTGTAATGTAATGATACTATATATTAAGATATGTCTTTTTTTCCTTCTCTGCCAAACACAAACGCATCAAAAAAAGAAAGAAAGAAAGAAAAAAAAATCATCACGTTACCACAAAAGGAATCAGTAAATAATAAAAGAAGGGCAGATCGGCTAACATTCTCATACCGTAGAGAAAGCAACAAAGAATATCCGATGAATAATACGAGAATAAAATATATTCATCGAAGCAAAGGAAAACAAAACTAGCAACAACTATAATAAATATTAATCATTTTCTTCTTGTTATTATGATTCTGAATAGTATTTTCTAACAATAAAAAGAAAACTAACACAAAAGATCTAAAAAAGAATCAATCAATTATTTACAAAAATAAGTAAAAATCTTGTGAGAAAACTATTTCTATAATTATTAATTGATATTTTTATAATTATCATCATTATTTTTTTCTTTCCTGTTGATATATAAGATAGTATTTATTTCAATTTCAATAGCTATTAATCAAAAAAATTCTGTCTGGAAGTATTTTTCTTCATCTGATAATTCATTCAAATCGATAGAAATATCTATGAGATAATAGAAAAAATCGTTGTTTTTTGTTTCTTCTATGAAGTTGTAAATGAGGATGAAAAACTCGAACATTACCTTAATTTGAAAGTCAATATGTCTATCTTACATGGATATGTGATGACACTTTATCATACTATGAGAAACTATATCACAATAATACTGTGATGACATTTTTTTTTCCAGTAAAGCTAATTTTAGAACTGTTGAAATGCACTATACATAAAATGCTTAATAGATTGCACAAGAACACAAATATTTGAGTATATATTTCAAACTATTTCAATTAATAGATACTGTAATTTTAGAACTCTTCTTCATAGTTGCATTTTTTTGCTTAGCAAAGATTTTTTCTTTAATAGCTAATTGATCTATACTCTATTGTTTATTTTAAATCTTCCTATTTCGAAAAACAATAAAACAAGATTAAATTTAATATGATAGTTTGTTAATACAAAGAAGAATCTCTAATATGAATACAATGATATTCAATACTATTGTATTATCAAATATTCATGTTTTGATAAAAGTATATATTTATTATTTATTTCTATCTTAAAAAATTCATATTGCTGTGTTAGTATTTTTTGTCATGAAATTTTTTCAATATTCATTTTCTATTATTACATAGGGCAGTCAAAAAAAGTAGTGAGAATGATAATGTAATAATTCATACGTCAACTAATATGATAATAATAAAATTTTGATAAGACCTATTTTTCTATCATATGGATCAAGATATACGAATGTCTATTTAATGGATCGTTTCTGAATAACTTTTGATAGAAGCTAGATAGAGAACTGTAATTTTCATTGTTTGAAAGAGGAAATGAAGATGTATTGAATCGTATATTATACGTTTTCCTAGTATATTGTCTGAAATTTGTTTAATCAATTTTCTAAGTATAGAAAAATGGTTTCTTATCAAAAAAAAAACAAAACAGCAAAAAACGCTTTTTACAGAAATTGCCAGAAAAATAAACTTATAGCTTCGATTAAAATATCTATAACTCCTAAATGATTAATTCTAAACATCTGAACCTTGTGCTAATTTTGTAGACCTTCCATTGGCGATTTGAATACATACTTGACAATTAAGAATTCATTATGAACACGTCACTGAGTAGGTTTATGTTCAAAGTGGGCTATTGAATACGTTAAAAAAGCCATATAAAAAAATCTATAATTTAAGACTTTGATGCATCTTCATTTCCTCTTTCAAACGATGAAAATCGTAGTTCTCTAGCTAGCTTCTATCAAAAGTTATTCAGAAACTATCTACTAAATACACATTCGTATATCTAACTCATATGATAGAAAAATAGGTCTTATCGAAATTTTATTATTATCATATTAGTTGAAGTATGATTAAATAGCATAGAAAAATAGAACATGGTTTTCTCTATGAGACTACATCGTGAGAAAGTTTCCTAAAACTTTTTATAAGAGATTACAGTATTACTCTCACTACTTTTTGACTTCCCTATCTATATCACAATATTAATGTAGAAAATAGTATTTTGAAATGGATATGAAATTTTTCTATAGATACATACAACGGGATATCTCAAATTGATTTCTGATTGATTTGTTCCGACTTGATTTTTTCCGGATTTAGTCTACTCCTAATTAAGCCTTTATTTGCCAACTAACTACGATAAGCAAAATTGAATCACAGAGATAATTTGAGGTTATGAAACGTATTTCTTGCTCACTCATGCCTTACATCAACATATTGGGTTTCGACAACGCTATTCAACAAGAGGTCTTGTTTACACGTTTGACGATGTATTGAGAGCTCAATTAGTTCAGCACCTTTTGATTTCATTCCGTAGTTGTAAAATAAAGCATGACCAATAAGTGATGACAGAAATAGTAAATATAATGATTAGATTGATGTTTGTATTGTAGAATAACTTGTGAATTTGAATTCTAGATAGTCATCTAATAATATACGAGTTTTCTCAACATTACTTTCTATTCTCATCGATCTTGATTGAAAATTAATCAGGGCCAAATTGGAAACCGATCAAAATCGATATGAACTCAATTCGAAAACAATTAAAATGCGACAGTCTATCTTAAATCCGAACTGGGACGAGTTGATGATAGATCCTCACGAAGAAATAACGGCAAATTATTACTCTAAAAACTTTGATAATCAAAAGTACTTTTTGTCATTTATCATGTGAAATATTTTTAAATAATTTCATAAAAAAAATTTATTTGACTGAAAAAGCACAATATAAAATTTAATCATCACGTCGCGTATCAATATTATCTGGATATTTAATTAGCGTAAGGTCTTCATCGAAAATTTCTTCCATTGTAAAACCACATGTACTAATTATATTAAAATGACGATCAAGTTCATCAATACGTTCTTTACCAAGTTTTTCATATACTTCACGTAATAAACGTAATGAACGATTACGATGAAACATAACTAAACATTGTTCTTCATCATCAGGCCATCGATCATCAATGTCACATACTTGAGTTAAATACATTGGACATCGATTAGGATTACAATCCCAATTATGATTATGATCAAATATACCATTAGTTCCATCTCGTGCTTTTTCACAATCTTCAACTTTTTTTCCACAAAAATAACACCATAATTGTGCACATGTCGGACAAGTCATATGTGTGCAAGCATCATCTTTCATACCAGCTAAACCACATTTTGGACAAGCAATTTTTTGACCTGATTCTAAATATTCATCAACTATGTGTTTATCATCAGCTAATTCAGCACATTTAAAATGTTTATCCATTTCAGCTAGTTCTTCATCAGTACCATAATCACTTTGAAATTTTGGACAAACTTTTCGACATATTAAACATGAAACTTTAAGACATTGTTCATGTTGACAATGAAAAATATGTGAAGCATTTATATTACGTATAGCAGCAAATGTACAAAATGGACAATGATCTAAACGTTCATCTTTGTCAAGAAAATCTTTTGACCAAGCAAATATAAGCATATGTTGAGTATAAAATTCAATTTGTTCTGGTGTTAATTGTCGTTCAAATACACTAGGATTTAATTCAATACGACATATTAAACAACGTAAAGGTATATAATTATGTGGTTCAGAAAAAAATAAACGAACAATATTAGTTGAACATTGTGTACAAAAATAATGCCCTTGTACACATTGTATACCAGAGTCATCAGGTTCTAAATCACTTGTGCAAGCTCCACAAATTGTCTTTTTTTTGTCTTTTTCAGTCGGTGCTGTAACAATGGTTGAGTCTACTTGTATTGACATTGTTTATAAGTGAAGTCTAAATAAATTTCAGTAACAAAAATGTACATAGAAGTAAAGAATAAATACCCATTAACAAAAAAAGAAATGAAGGGAAAAAGCCAAGCAATCGAAGACGTTAAACACAAAAAAGAAAAACCACGAGGTAAAAGAAAAAGAATTGCTTTCGTCTTGTTTTATACGCATTGGAAGTTTCCTTTGACAGGAAGAAAGATTGCGACGAATAAAAAAAAACAATTTGTTTACTACATAAAACAGAGAGATGCATGATCATTATTTTTTAGAAAAATAAAGTTAACATCATCTTTTGATAGAGAAAAAAATATCTAGTCAATAAAATAGATGAAATGATCAATAAATTAATTAATTATAAAATCAGTAGATTAATTGAATGATTAGTAAATAAAATTTACTGACAGTCAATGAAATCGATCGGTAAGTATAGAAATTGAAATGCGTTATAGTGTGACACACTTTTTTCTTCTTCTTTTCATATTGTCATCTGATAGAGATATCATGTACAACATGCATATAGGTAGTATTTGTTTCTATTCTTTCCTCCAACTTTCGCTCAGAGTCTATGAGTAAAACAATAAGATGGATGTGGTGCAATATGTTCTATAAAAGTGATACATCAGATGAAGAGATTGTCGAAGAAAAGTATTAAATAAAGGGAAGCGAAAGACCTTGCCAAAAAAAAAACAGAGATCAATATATCGGACTAACGAAGCAACATTTGATAATGTTGATTGAGCAGAAACATTAACTAGTAATGAATGGTCAAAACATTGCGCAAACTATACTCATGTAATGAAAACAGGTAGTTTACTGCGATTTCATCAATCCGATTACCGGCTTCATTTACCATGGTAAACTACCGGTATAGGTCGGTTAATCAGAAAGTTTTTCGGAAAGAATCAGTCACTCCTACTTGATACCAAACTTAAACGCATTGTGATTTTGTTTCAGAAAATTTTTTTTGGATCTTCGCATCTCACAGTTTAATATGCACCAGATAATATCAGTACGCTGAATCCACCTGTAGTATCAACATAGCATGAAAATGTCTCGTAATTTAGATCCAGTTCAGAACTTCTATCTCATGTTTCATATGGTCACAACTAGCAAATTGGTTCTTCTATAACTATATAGTTCCTATCCGGTCAGAACGTAAGATACTCTGAAAATAAATATTATTTTAACTACCAAGTTTTTTTATTGTCTTTAACATCATTGGTGAACTGTACGAACAACAATCTCTAAAAAATATATTTTTGCAGTGACATCTATTTTCATTTTAGTTTTTCTATTCATTTTACAACTGAATGAATCAGCACAAATATAATTTATCTGCTGAACTATGCTATGAGATATTTTTTTACTCTATAAATTATACACACTGGCTAGGATCGTAGCACTTAATGTAGAGCAAGTATATGTCAGCTATATAAAGCAGAGAGTGAAAAAAGTTACTATTTATAAAATTGAAGGTAAGCATAATGATCATAAGGGTGTGGAAGTATAAAGCCTTCGGCACATTAGGAAACTCGCAGTCTTCTATTCTATATTATTGTTCATAAGTTACAAAAGAGACTTCTATTGAGTTCCTCAAGAAAAAGTCATATTTTTTGGTAGCCTCGCTAACAATTTTTAGTGTTAATTTATTTTTTGCCCAATGCATCGTTTGTAAACAAGTTTATTTCAGCTTTCTCCAGGCATATTGCAAAAGATCTCTGATGTGACTTCACGATATGTTTTCGATAAAGAAAGACATTTTTTAAAAAGACTGTTCTCTCCTATTTGCTACTTCTCAAAGTTTTTCTAACTTGGAACTAATACATCACTATGATGATGGAAGGAAAATATTGCCTATAGTCAACTCCAGGGATGTGGCGACCACGGGGTGCAGGGGGGGTGCGCACCCCCTCACTTTTAGAAAATTTTCGCTTTTTCCCAGCAAAAATTTGTTAAATTTATTGAAAAAAAAGATCGTGAGATGGAAAAATAAGGATCTGCACCCCCCCCCCCACTTTTTAAAATTTCGTAAATGCATTATTTCATGTTCAAAAATTTTTTAAATACACCCTCAATTTTTCAAAAAATTTCTCTTGCACCCCTCCACTTTTTTCTCTTCGCCACATCCCTGGTCTCAACGATGTTCATGATAATTATATAGAAGAATTTCTATTTCATACAAAAACATATTTAACGAAAAATGTCAATCTTTTTATTGAATATGAATCTTTAGAACGAATAACACACAATTTCACAAGAGAATGCACACGAATTAATTGTGCAAAAGTTGATAAATTATATTTATGTGGTAATGATGAATTGAAATGTGAAAATTCTTTAGGAAAATATTTTCCTATTGCCAAAATAATTAATCCAAGAAGATATTGAAAAAGAACAAAAATCTTATATTTAATAAAAGAAAATTATCTTTTATTAAAATACAAAAAAATAATCTAAATTGAAAGATTTTCCATAACAAATATATGGGTGGAATATATATTAAGTGAAAAGAATTTGTTCAAATTTTGTTTTTCTTTCGAATAAATTTTTTTCTAACAATTTTATTCGAAGTCAATTCTGATATGGAATGAGTTTTGTCAATGTTTCAATGTCTTAATTATAGAATCTAATAAGACTGGAACCATGATATTTCATCTTGCATTATTATCATTTGATCTTTGTCTTATCACTCATTAAAACAAAATGTTTCTTTTTGAATTAACACATTGTATCCGATCGTATTGAAAATATATTTCGATTTGAATGAGTTCAGGTAGATCATCTGTGGTCTTATATTCATTAGATACTATAAAAAATAACAAACAGTTAAGATAAAAATGAATAGAGTTTTCTTAGATATCATAAATAATTATTGTATAATATTATTATTAAAAATTCAATGGTAATAAGTGATACTTGTTCGATGTCTCTCTCTGCGATGTATATGTGAATTGTAAATGATTTCTACAATGAATATCGTTTCTCAATGTATTTGTTCTGCTATGACTATTCAAACTTACAATCAATTCTCATTCTCATTTAAAAAAGTGTAATACGCTTAGTTAAGTTACAAGTCAAACGGAACGGATTATCTTTTTTTGTCACATAAAATTATTTCGAAATTTACTACATCATTTATTGATGTATTCATTTGATTGTTCATCAGATCTCGATTGTTTTCTAAATTTAAGAGTACAAATATCTTTCAAATGTATATTGTTCGTTACTATGTGAAGTATTTAATGTTGAACGCTATTTGTGTTCTTGAAGATAAAAAGAAAACGAAAAATATCGACTTATTTTAGCATCGAAAGATTTGTAAAAAAATCTATTTATTCTTTTTTTTCTTTGAAAAAATTCGTTAATCATCTGTTTATTTTTTCAAGTAATCCGTAATTTTTAAAACTTCTGGTTCTTGTTCAGACATGATTCTTGGTTTGTTTTCTTGAATGACTTCTGCCAAGATATCGAATGCATCAACACCACTATCTTCTTGTTCACCATCGATATCTTTTTGTTCAACAACAACTTGTGTTGATGAATTCATTTGTAATGTACTATCACCTTTTTCAGTTGATTTTAATTTGAAATTATTTAATTCGATTAGCATTTCATTAGTTATAATATGCACGGTATGATCGAATTCATTTTCATTGATCAGTCTATCTGTAGTAAACGAAAATAAGGTTGACCTTTTTTTCTTATGGAATATCATCATATCTTACTCGAGTTTTTTTAAACTCTTGTTAAAATTGACAAAGGAATTGATTTGTAATGTTTTTCTTATATCATAACCAAGACTAATTTGATTGTTCTAAAACAAATGAAATTATTTTTGTACTTTATCTTTTTATCGCACAAAAATAATTTGCTTACTTCTATACGAAAACTTATTTCACCTGTTTTTATAGCAATAACTAATGCAAATTTCATATCTTCATAGATGTAGTTTAATGCCAATCGTCTATTGGAAGCATTTGCCAATTCGACGAAATCAGAATTCTTCTAAAATTCATGAAATAGAATTATATAATTGATAAGATTTTTCTCACGTCATATATGGTATGAATGTTTTGGGAAAGTTGCAACTCGTCACGATTTTTCTTGTCTGGCTTTCGTAACAAATTGACAGTACGAAAGCCCGTAACAGAGGTTTCGTAACGACAGAATCAGGGCTTTCATAACAAAAAATCAGAGCTATCGTAAGGAATTTTACAGGGTGATCGTAACCGGTGGTTTGATATGTGGCTTCGTTACGATATCCCTAATTTTTGTTACGAAATCCCTGTTGGCTCGTTGCGAAAACTCTGAAACTGTTACGGACTCCCTGTAAATAACAGCTACGATTGCCCTGTAAATTTTGTTACGATATCCCTGTTTTTTCGTATATCCCTATTTTTAGCGTTACGAAAGCCCTGTTTTTTCTGAAAAATTCAACTCGTCACGTGACGAGTTGCAACCTCCTCAATGGTTTTTTTGATGATGTATTCATGGAAAATTTTATAGAAAAACTTGAATTTGTCGCCTTGATTTATAATTAACCTAAAACATAAAAGATATCATTTAATGTGTGAAAAATCTCGGATAGAGAAAATTGTTGAAAAAAACGAAAAAATATTTTATATAGATTATTTATATTCTGATGTTATTTCGATTCTTTCGTTTATCCATCTTTTACATTTAGATTTTATTCCTCTTTCGCGGTTTCCAAATTTCATGGATAAAACAATTGTTCATATAAAGTATTGGAAAAAAAATTTCTACATAAATCACAATATTCTAAAAGACAAAAAGTATTTGAATCAGAGATAATTGAAAAAAGAAAGGATATTTTGTACTGAAATTTTCCTAAAAAACATTCTCTTTATTTTTTTTTCTCATTTTGAAAGTCACCGTATAGATGTCGTAGAATAATTAGAAATATTCTCAGCACATTATTTATGTCTATACATAAATTTTGTTTTTTGTTACAACAGTCAATTTTCACTTTTAACTTATCTTTTTTTACGTAATAATCAAATGTAAAAATAGAACAAGATCTATTAATTATTTTTTCGAAACATGAAACCTTTCTATTCATTGTTAAATCTCTCCAGTTGCTCGTAAAACATTCAAGATCCCAGGACGAACAATCCGACAGTGGATCCCATCGGATCCTATCGAATCCTATCCAGATCCTATAGGATTTTATTGGATCCGGGTCACGATCCGACTAACGGATCCATAGTATTGGAATCCGATAGGATACTATAGGAACCTCGTCGGAATCCGACTGCTGGAGTTCCTATCGAATCCGACTGTTGAATTTGATCGGATCTCTGTCGGATCCGATCGGATGTCTCTCGGATTCCAAAACTAGGATTTGTTCGTCGGATCGTGGCCCAGATTCCGATCGGATTTTGTAGGACTCGTTGGATCCTATAAGATACCATCGGATCCGTGTCGAATTGATTGACCTGGGATGATTAAAATTGTACAAACATAGATGTGTAGTTTTTTGAAGATTTCGAACGTCCCATTTATAACAAAATTTAAGATCGCATTGCATTTTGTTCTTTTTTCTTTTCAAATAATTTTTAATGGTTCAAGTGAACGATTTTACCAGATAGAAAGAGAAGATTCATCTCAAGAAGAATTTTTAGAACAAATTTTAATTAATATGATTGAATGAATCCTGCTTATTTAGTGTGCAAAATGACAGGCAATCAGTATTCTATGCTTTTCTTTTTGTCCAATCTATGATTTTTGCTTTACTTTAACGTTGTCGAACATGATCTAAAGATCATCGAAAAGAGAACCTATGTGTCTCCATGGATGAAACCAACTGATGAGATCTTTAGGCTAGATCGAAACGCGGCATCAGTGCTTACCTCATTCTCTCACCATCACCATCAACCCTTTTCATTTGCACATCTTTTTAAAAGTGCTTAATATTGTATTGGAGAGAAAAACGAAAGAGAATAGAAAAAAAACTGCGAAATAAGTCAATGTCTTAAATCTTTTGTGATGCAATTCATTTCAACGCGTAGTCTGTATCAAGTCCATCACAATTATCGTTATTATCTATATCCTTATTCAGATTACTTTTAGTAATAAGTTCAGCAATCAAAACAGTAAGAGGAGTAGCAAATAGTATCCTTAACCCTTTGACGGCGAAGCCCGTAAATTTACGGTTTCAAACTGAATAGGATGATAACGCTTTTATTCACTATTTTTTTTTTCTGTGGTTTTTGAAGACCGCTTGAAGAAACTCACTAGCGACATGTTGTGACAACTAGGGGTCTCTTTCGTAACTTACTTTCGATGACTCATACGAGACTAATCGTTTTATTTGGTATTCCAGAATATTCTGTTGAAGTAGTATAAACAGGAATGCCCTTATCACGTAAATCGTACAGAGTGATTGAATAAAATTATATTTACAAAGAGACGGCAATAATACTAATTGTTATTACTCAACTTTATACATTACACTGACTCTTTTTGGCATATTCTGAATTTTTTTCTGGATTATTATGGCATCTATTAGTACAACTGATTCTGATGTTGCTGAAAGCCTTACAGATTCCGAATTAGACGATGAATTAGACACTGATTCTACTTGCGAGTTTGATAATGAATTCGATAATGAAGATAGCGAACAGCATAGACAGGAATCTTTTGCAGAGCGAAGCATCTTTAAATCGACTCTAATAAATCAAACACTTCTAATCAGTGCTAACTGAGATAGCATAATTGATTTCGGTAATTCAACTTCACTCTTTATCGGAAAAAATAAGTCCACCGTCAAAGGGTTAATTAAACGAAACATTCTTTAGTTTGTTTAAATGAAAAACATTTTTCAGAAATGATTTCCAATAAAATATTTGAATTTATCCCATTGAAATTTTAATCTATTTTGTCAAACATTACTTGAAAAGGAATGTTGAAATGTTTAGAGGCAGAAATTTCGACCTTCGAACTGCCGTGACAGACATGTTGAAAAAGCTTTATCACAAATGTGACAGATATACATATGATCGCACAAGGGAAAGTGAGAGAGAGAGGATAACGATCTTTTGTGATGTAAAGGGATATTTGGAAGAAAAATTCGAATGATGTGAAAAGGTATTGTCAAATGACAGAATCGAACCATTTCGTTGTTGTCAGAAGTTGGAGGATTGTCGTGTTTGACATTTTGAATCCCATACGGATAACGCTAAATGCTTTTTATATAGAAATAATTCTTATCAAATACATGAAAATTGATTTAAATTAGAAGAAAATTTGTTAATTCTCATATTAACATTTGATTAAACTCTGAAAAGTTTCTTTTATTTATAGAATAAAATAATATTGAAATGAGATCAATACTAGGATAATCTCTGAAAGAAAAATCTTTTTTTGTTATTGAAAGAGAATATAAATAAATCTCTTCATCACCTTCAACAATGAAAATCTTTCAATGAATGAGAAAGAAAAAAAAACATTTGTCTTCATCGATGAATTATTTGTTTAAAAAGAATTTTTCTTCATCAATATATGATTGATCTTGTCAATGTCAGTTCATTATTATGAAAATCAATAATCATTCTTAATTTAAATGATTTGTTTCGAAGAAAAAAATCATTTCCTTTTAACAATTTTATTTTTTTTCGTTTTTCAAATGTAGAATTTTAATGAAATTGTCACACATACGAAAAGAAATATTGGATGTTTTTAGATCTGATAGGTCAATATTTTGAAGAAATCTTTTTTAATGAAGATTTATCAAATGTTTTATTAGAAAGAAAAATCTTTTTATTGTGAATGTGTTTCAAAGAGATATATCAGATTTGAATTAAATTATTAACAATCTTTTCTAAATCATTTAATCATGATGAAAAAGAATTGAGATACAGTTAAACCTCTCATAGTGGACATCTCCATATAGTTGCATGAGTTGGCCAATTCGAGTTCGAATATAAATGACTCTTGAAAGCCTCCTGACGATTATAAAATAATTCAAAAAAAAAATTCAACAAGGCCTTCCGAGTCGGAAAAAAATTTTCTCAATTATATAATTCTAATTGACATGCCTTATTCATGTAAAATTTTGGCCAAAGGTCAAAGTTTGAATTATAACTCAATTATATAATTATAATTCAGATGGCTTATCCATGTAAAATTTTGGCCAAAGGCCAAAGGCTAAAGTTTGAATTATAACTCATTTATATAATTATAATTGACATGGATTAGCCTTATAAATATCGATACGAAATTTTAGTACAAGCCGGTTTCTGAAATGATCGTACGGTTATGGAAGAGAAGAATAACCGATCACTTCTGCTTCAAATGGTCACGTCAACTTGATATACTTCATAATCTGAATCGCAAATTAGTGGGCACAACTCTGTCTGAGGGTGAAGGCGAAAGGAATGATAATAAACTCGATGTCCTTGCAAACGAAACAGACAAAATCAAGAATTTTCTACAACAATAGATTCCAAATTGTTTAATCTTGATCAGAAATATATGTACAAACCAAACAGGTCGCTAAAGGCCACCATACATGTGAACATGGACTCAACTATATGAGTCATCGACAACAATGACCCAAGGTATTACAGATATCTTAGTCTTCTACTCATATTATTACAAATCATTCTTTTAGGTTTCAACCACTGAATTCGATTAATGCGATTCATTACGAAAAAATATTACACAATAACTCAAACTCATAATGAATTACTTTCTAAAGCCATATTTACCTGAATACAATTTCTATCGAAATCATTTTCAAATTGATATAATTATCTACAAATATGCGAAAAACTCCATTTAACATAAACAATCCAATTCCATCTAAAAATTCTTTCCCAGTTATTATTCATACGATTCCATACATAATAAAAAATGCTTTCAAGTTAACATTTCAATGATGCACACGGTAGTTTTTTTGATTCTAAACATAC